CATATCCCCCGCATGGCCCGCCCCACTATGCCTCCAGCCTCTCTTTGCCTCCACCCTTTGGAACTCCAGCCATGGTCTCCAGCCACTCCCTCCCTCACTTCAAGGCCCATCTCAAGACCCGCCTCTTCAACTGTGTCTTCGGTCACCCTCCTATCCCTACCCTCCCCGCCCTCCACCCTTTCTGATCCCAACCCCCAGCGGGTTACAAATCCCTAAATATGCATCGCCTTGGGACGTCCTCCTGACGTGAAAGGCCCTATACAAAGGTAATTTGCTTGTAACAGTGCTTAGTGGGTTATGGCCTTGCTCTCAGAGCTCTATCTCTGTTGTCAGGTGCCTTGTTGCACATATCCGTTGGACAGTGTTTGAGCTCAAGGAGAGATAAGATGAATTAAATAACTGTTAAAATGGAGGATAAGGCTCCATAATGGCTTTATTGTGGATTTTTTTGAAGCTTGTTCGAATCCTGTTCTAGTCTCATGCATTAGCGGTGAAGCTCATTCCTGTTGGTTATTTGAAATTGAAGTTGAAATTCATTTGATTTTTCTCCTGAGTTCTTAGAAATTGTCCGGAACTGGGCGGTGTTGGAGACCCAACCTTTGTGCTTTGCTAAATGTGTCTATGCACTTGGTAATTTGTTTTTCTGCCCACTCCAGTTTGGACAATGTAGTCAATCAATCCATTCATTTTCCTTGTTTCACAACCGCCCAGGATGTGACCTTCAGGAGTTGTTTACAGAGCGCATTCAGAACTGCTAGTGACTATAACAGTTATGTTTAATGCCCCTTTGTACTGTCCAGTAGGCACTTTACATGAATTATTGTTGGGAACCAGCATTGCCAAATAACATGCAAATTACTGAGCAAAATTAAAAGAATTCACTTATTTCACACGCAGAGAAGCCAGAACAATCAACGTACAGTACTTAGAAAGAATACTTTGCTGGGTTTGAGATAAAATATTTATTAGGAGGTCCTTACTGTAGGTATCATGTTGGGCATGTAGTGATTAGATGAATTACCATTCTAAACAGAATCATATACAAAAAGGGAGGTAAACAGAAGTGCGTGATTCAATGAAACTTGCCTAAAGTTTCGCCCTGCCTGCATTGAACCCGGGTCCACTTGCTTGTGAGGCAAGAAAGCTAACCCACTATGGGAATCCAGGTTCAATTCCGGTGGGGGGTGAAACCTAAAAATGAAATGGTAAGGACCAATCTTCCTGCAGACTTTCTATTGCAAGAAAATAACAGGCGCAATAACAGTGTAAATCTTTTTTTATTATAAAACTGCAAAGGAAACAATTATAAATATACTTTGGAATGAGCTTGCTTTTTCTACATGTAACAACATGGAAAATAAAATCCCAAGTATAATAAACAAACAGTAGTAGCATTTTTCTTTGATCGGAAATAAAGTGTGGAATAATGAAAGTCAACTTTTGCAGTATCTATACATGTCTATACATGTGCAGTGATGTGTGTGCTGTGAGGAGGCTCAACATGAAAGGCAACATTTAAACATTCGGAAAACTCTTCAGTCAATTTTATAAAGCGGGTAGATGAAACCTCCACATTGGTTAAAATCTATAGATTACATATATTCTATATTATACGATGCGATTATTTATCCCTATTCCACCAAGAATCAGAGGGAGAGAGAGAGAGAGAGCGAGAGGAAAAAACAATCCTAATGGGGCTTCAAGAGTGTTGGGGACACACTAGTAGAATCTGGGCACTAAATCTAGTGATCTGACCATTTTTGATTCTTTATTAGCAAAAAGCGAGAAAGCCAGCAAATCTCTGCATGGACTTGGACGCCTTTTCACAGAGAGTCAGCCCTGACCCTTGAAGTAACCTGTGCACAGAGATGCCCTCGGGCTATACTGCCAAATGCAACTCCAATAACCACTGCCATATGACAAAGTTGCACTGTTTCCCTGAGCTCATGTCCAGAGGGCAGTAGGTTAACGACCTTGTCCACTGAGACGATCAATTGTCTTCACCTTTGCCACACACGCTAACACATTCTTTGCAATCGACATTCATAAATAATTACTATCCTAAGGTCTGCAAATGGCTTCTTTATTTAGGCTTTCCCATGACACACACTGTACTGATCAATCACAAAAGTCATGCACTATAAATAACCTGTTGCAAAGAGAGGCGGCAGCTGCAAATTATTAAAACAGGATTAATAATAGCAGACAATCCATGCACAGCAACCTCTATCTCTTTCTATATGGAGCCCATGCTTTTCTCTCTAAAACACACAAAGCAGCTGCACGCCCCAAGTTCCCAGCTCCGCAATGCATATTCCTAGCTTGGACTGGCTGACAGAAATCTGTTTGCGCCATTCCTCAGGACAAACACCATGGAAGTTTTTGCTGGCCTGAAGCAACCTAGCTTGTTTTCCAGGCAGGTTTTCTTTAGTTGCTGGGACATCTTGGTCAAATACATTTCAAAAGCAAAGTGTTTCTGGTACTCCTCCAGCTGCCCTCTATCACCTGTTACCTGGAGTGAGATGCAGCCAGAACTGTCTGGTTGTGGAGGGTCTTAGATGGTCCAGCGCCTTGGGACATCCTCTCGACGTGAAAGGCGTTATACAAATGTAATCTTGTTGTTGTATTTAAGGGAAGGTGTGAAAATGTTGCTGAAGACACGTTGAGCCCCTTTGTGGGAATCCTTCACATTACAAGCTTATACTCAAGCATAAGCAACTTAAGCAACTCAAATACGTGAGTAAAAGACACCGAGCCAGATCCCTTCATAGACCGTTCAGAGCCTGCTGGTTCAGTCACTGAAATGAGAACGAGCTATCATTTTGCCACGAGTATCAAAGTGTGTGGAGAATAGCTTAAACAGTGCAGCTATCCTCACTGTGTTGCACCAGCTAACAATACGCACAGAAAGGAAGCTTGGTGGTCACTTGGGCCTTTGGGAATCAAAAGGTTATATTTTCTAAACATATTAATGAGTTTATATTACCTTTTATCCTTTAGTAACATGCTCAATTATCAATTGCTCAATTATCCTTTAGTAACATGCTCGGTTAGCATATATATATACTGTATCTGACTTTCGTCTTAAACAGGAACAGACTGTAACATAGTGGAATACAATAACTTATACGTCAAACAGGAAACCTGCCCCTGTGTAAATGACCATGAGTCAACTCAGCAATAGGGTCCAATTCATGATATTGTTCAATGAGATTCCTAGAGTTTCAGTTGACCTGTGGGAGCTCCACTCCCCTCGGAAAGTAGATCCTGTTGGAGCAAAGTTCCCTCAGGTTGGCTTTACGTACTTCTGGTTAAGGTTCTGGAAAAAGGCTCCATTTATGCGAGTGGGAACTGTGTTATACTCCAAATTAGCTTTCTATGCCCCACTGAGAACGGAAGCAGAAATTACTGTATGAGATGTGCTGCTCTTATTAGCCTGTAGACAGAAGTGAGGTCAGGACATTGCTTGACACAAATTAATACTTCCTCCTTTGTCTCACACTGTTGGAAATGTCAATGGAGGCAGGCAATGTTGTGTTTGATGGATTTATGTGGAAGGGCAGGGCAGTGTTGCACAGTCTGTAATTTCAAGGTGCACTTTATGCTGGAGAAGCACAATGACTCAGATACAGTAGCTCCACTTCTGCTTTGATGCTGGAAAACTGACTGAACAGTTATTAGTAAAAATGGTAAAAAAAAAGTAGTGACTGCATTTTTGTAGGCAAAGTGCAGCAGCCAATTGGTGCACAGCAATGTCCCACAACCAGCAATAAATGGCAGAACAGGCTCAACAGGCTGAATGCCACCCTCCTCTTCCTCAAAACAAGTTAGTAATAGATGAATTACCAACAGTATTGGTAATAGTTTTCTGCAGTGCTCAAATTTTTCATAAGACAATAAGAGGGCTGTGGAGAAGCTTTCAAAAAGGAGTAAACTACAGGGATATGGGGAAAGGACAGTAAACACGACTGAAAGGATTGCTCTTAAAAAAGCCAGTACAGACACAATGGGCTGAATGGGATTCCCCTGTGCTGTAAATTTCTACGGTAGGGTTACTGCCCTGACTTTCACTTTATATATAAAAAAAATTTCAGCATTTCTAGCAATCTGGCTTTGGGACGATGAAGCCAAAGTGCTTTCTTTGTACTCTTGTGAATATGACAATTATTGACCCAACATTGATCCTCACAATGAATGGAAAAATTTCTGTGAGTTATTTGTTCATTCCTAGTACACGTACAACTGCTGAAGGTGTAGAAATGGTTGCAGCGCGGGTAAGATCGATAGCACTCGATCTATGATTCATTATTGATACTAGATTTATGATTCATGAATAAACAACGACCTGTACACCTCAAATGTTGGACCCTTGTCCTTGCCGGCATTTGCTCATCACCTTGCACCAATCTGCTAGACCTAACCATTGCTTCCTAACATAGGCAAATCATTGCACAAGCTACATACAAACCCACCCGAGCAAGGCAAATGGACAGTTCAGCCACAATAACATTATTGTTAAAGATGCCATGCAAATACTAGTGCTTGACCCAGCATAACTGTGACTTAAAAGAAACGTGGAGGAATTTAGTCTCTCCGGTTTTAAACTCAGATCAAATCATGTTGATGTGAAAACCTCCTATTACTGGGAAGACTGCTCCTCTCCTATGACAGCACTGAACAGTTGGAAATGAAGCTGTTTTTTCTGTTCCGTGCACTCCACATAGCAGATTTGTTGATGTGGGATAAACACTATTCTATACCATTCTGCAATTGTTTGCGTTCAGTGCGAATTTGTCCCTGTTCAGTTATAAATGCAACATAACATTAAACCATAAATAACATGTCACGCTGAATGTAAAGTTAAATTATAATTTAAAAATTGCATTACATTTATTCATAAGCACACAGGGACAAATTTGCTAGACTTACTGAATGGAACGCATTAGTGTTTTAGCCCACAGGAATGGATTCGCTGCCTGAAGCACACAGAACAGAACAATCCCCAAAGAATTTTATGGTTATTTTTTCGAACAACAATATTTTTATTTAAAAAAACAGGGAAATGAAGTTCCCTGTGGACTCAATTCTTAACAGATTTGCACAGATATTTCAGCTATTGCTTTACCAATGCCTCTTGCAATACAGTGTGATATATCGGAGTGAATGATTTGTACAGTACCTCACTACAGGAAAGAGCCTTATACTAGTCAAGTGATGCTATAATAGTTTCACTCATTTAAGTCGTCACTATTCTTGAGAGGAGCACTGACTGTTGTGCTTTTTCACAGCACAAGGGTACAGGAATGCTCTTTATACCATCAAGAAAGCTCTATCTTAAAGAAAAATATGAATGACATTAAAAAGTGAACTACTAGGGTATAAATGGCCACCAATCTTGGTAGTCAGATTACATATACAAAGTGCAGGTACAGCACATCTCGCTCAAAGCCAATTATGTCCCTTCAATTGCTCAGTTTTGTTGTGTACTGGGAATCCTCTCCTTTTACAAATCATAGGCAAACCAATTTTTATCTGATTTCTTTGCAATCTGTGTGTTTCATTTTATGTTAAATACACACCGTGGCTATTTGATGGAAGAAGGATGTTACTGCCATAAGATGATGGAAAACAGGTTTGCTCCCTGCAAGTGCAAAGGAAATACAGTACTTAAAAAGGCTTGCATGTCTCGGCATGTGGTCGTACATTTTCAACACAACAGCTGATGTAACCGCAATGACCTTCAGATAAAATAACTTCTTCTTCAACTTCTCATCGCTCAGGCTCTGAGCCAGACATCAGTGCAGTCAGTGTGTTATAGAACTGAATCAAGAGTACACTACATTTGGATAAAAATATAAAGGCATAATCATTCGGACAGACTTCTTATATAAAAATATTTGTTTCTCTTTGGCAAGCGCATGTAAAGAGAACTCAGTCCCCTGAGGGCTGTATTGCTGTAAATCTCGATCTCTTCCGTTCCTAGTCTCTGTTCTTCTCCACCAGCACTTTGTTTTCTGACGTTGAACGTTTTATTTTAAAGGAAGTCTAAGCCTCACTGACAGGTCTCCCATCTGCATTGCCAGCCTCAGGAATGCTTCCCAGCTGTAGAATTACGCAAATACAGAATTATCAGGTCTCCGGAAAATCTGGAGAAGGTTTCTCTCTTCCACATATGGAAGATTCTGGAGAAGGAGCAATCCACTGTCTGATGTGTAGCAGGTGACCCATCTGGCAGCTCACTGGTCTTTTTGGACCCAGTTCCAACTCTCTTCACTGTCCTTCCTGTTCTTCTCAGCTTCAATGATTTCTTTGTACTTTCGGCGAAAGAAGCCAAGCTAGAGAAAAGGAAACCAGAGTCAAACAAAATAACAGCACAAAACTATTGCACACAATAGCGTGAAAAATTATCTCTTTGACTACACTTTCGGTCATCTTTGCCCTCCTCGTTCACTTCAACTCCCACACTCAGCTCCGGTGGTAAGCCAGAATTGCCAAGTGCTTTGGGACTTCCTCCTGATGTAAAAGACCTAAATAAATCTATGAAGCCATTATGAAACATTACATTTTGCACCTCAACATCGCAGCCACTGTCAACCATTCTTTGCTGCAAATGTAATCATAGCATTAAAACAGATCATTCCTGGAATTTTCTTGTTACTTATAATAAGAATCCTACATTTTGGTATAGCGCCTTTCATGTTGGGAGTACGCCCCAAAGCGCTTCACAGGATTTACTGTAAAGAGTAATTAATGACTGCGTATTTTGTAGGTGAACGCAGCAGCTAATTATCACACAGCAATGTCCCACAAACAGCTATGAAGTAAAATGATCAATTTTATCTGGGGGATTGTTGGCCAGAACACTTGGAGAAATTTCCTTCTCTTTTCAAGTCGTGCCATGGGATGTTTAACATCCACAACGGTTTAATATCTCATCTGAACTTATACAAAACCTTGGTTAGATCACATTTGAAGTACTATGTCCAATTCTGATCTCACTATAAGAAGGATATAGCAGTAATGGAATGATTACAGTGTAGGTTAACGAACATGATACCAGGGCTAGCAGTTTATTCTATTAGGATAGACTGGATAGGTTAGGCCTTTCCTCAAAGAAAAGACATTTGAGGGGACACCTAATAAAAATGTTTAAAATTATAAAAGGATTCAATAAATTTAACATAAATAGGCTGTTTCCACTCATTGGGACGTCCGTTCCCACGGACACAAATATAAGCTAGCAACCAGGGGATCAAAAAGAGAATTTAGGAGGAACTACTTCACACAGAGGTTGGTGAGATTGTAGAATGCTGCTTGAAGTGGTGGTTGAATCAGTTAGTGTAGATGTATTCCAGAGGAAGCTAGACCTTCACATGAGGAAGAGGGGAATAGAAGGGAATAGGCAGGAGTAAGTAATGGGGAAGACTTATTGGAGTATAAACATCAGCACGGACTGGTTGGGCCGTGTGGCCTATTTTCATGTGGTACACTCTTTGTATATCTTTGAACGACGACACCTTCAACAATATAGAACTGTATTGGGAGTGTCATCCTAGATTATGTGGGTTCAAATTCCCTAAGTGGGGCTTGAACCCACAACCTTCTGACTCAAAGGCAAGAGTTCTACCAAATGAGTCAGGCTGACATCTAATCTGGTGAAATGTTTAGCAAATTGGAGTGTGAAGCCCAGTAAAACACTGGAATTAAAGTTGTCTTAAATGCATTTGGTTTAAACTATTGAAGAACAATTTTTATAAAAAGAAGAAACAAAGGTTACTTGTCTAGTACACCAGAGGCATTCAATTTTGTACAATACGAAAAGGCTATAACCTCCACAAAACGCTCTGCTGGTTGCCATAAGGTTTGGACATAGGATAAGTCTATGAATGTTGTCAGATTGTTGAACCACATGGTTGTTGATACAACCATAGATAATTTCAGACAGTAATTGTAGTGTTACTGGAGAAGTCAGGGTGAGGTGAACATTAACTAATACGATGGGAGTTGTCATTCTGACCTCAACATTTATTCCAGAATTCAAAACATTAGGAAATTGCCGCCACTCTTCTAACTTTTATTGAGCCTACGTAAGTTGACTTACTGGGGAGTGATTTGTTGAATGGATTCCCCCCAAAATGTGAACATATGGATAATAGCACATTTGTTCATTTGTTTGATCACAAGGCATTCAGGAGTTATCAGGGTTTTGTTGAGAGCTTTCCCCAAGTCCATAATGCCTTACATGGATGAGTGCTGAATATTTAACTTGAAAACTCTGTTTTCATGCAATTTAACAACTGCACAAAATGGTTGGTCACCATATAAAATGTAATGCTCAAGACGAGGAGCAAAGCTCCATTATAGCACTTCATTATAACACAAGATCTTTTATACAGAAGTTTGGACCCTGACATCTACATGCCAAAAAAATCAGAAAATGCATATGGCCAGGTTAATAATGTGGGCTAAACATGGCTGACTTCTGGGTCATCAGGTCTCTGAACATGTGCGGCGCACAAGAAGTGATGTCAGCAATGACATGGTAATAAAAACAACTTGCATTTATATAGCACCCTTTGTGTAGGATAACATCTCTGAGTGCTTCACAACAATGGGGTCAGACGCCGAGTAAGGGAGAAGGGGAAGGGAGAGGTGACCACAGGTACAGTCGAAGCGGAAAGCTTTACGGTTGGATTTAAAGACAGATAGAAATAAGGAGGAGTGAGAAAGGCAGGGCATTCCAGAGAGGAGACATAGTGACTGAAAGCTCGGCCGCCAATCGTAACGCAGAAGTCAGAAGATTGCAATTTCTTAGAATGCTGACGCAATCATGCTCCATTATAACGGTGGTTGGAATATTATAGGCCCCAACAGACAGTGTTATAATTGGACTCTACTATATACTATATTGTATTGAGAGATGGTTTCTGGACTCGTGACATATCAACAAACATTAATCAAATGTAGGTGATGTTATTTAGGCAGATTTTCAAAGCTTTTTGACAAGAATCCATACTGGTGGTTAACAAAGCCTATAAAATAAATTATGAGTGTGGTGTCTCAACAGCGTACTGATCGAGGATGAGGTTAAGCAAAACCTCAATGTGTGTGAATGATACCAAAATAGGAAGCAGAGTAATTAATAAAGGAGTTGAGGAGTCAAGTGGCAGATCAATTCAACTAAAATGTTCAATGTGGCAACAAGGAACCAGCAGAGGGAGTACGTGTTAAATGGAACTGTTGCGTATTGAGATAATCAGGAGAGTGATCTGGAGTTATTGTGGACAAATTGTCACAACCATCAGCTTAGTAATTTTGGAAGATGGATTGTAGAGTGCGATTGGGTTCACTCTGTGACTTGCTAACTGGTAGCACCCATCTGGGTACACCTATGTTCTCCATCATATAATTACTGTATTACAGGCAGTGCAGTAACTGGGAGCAACGCATCGCCTATGTTCTCACTATCTTCAGGTTTACTTTGGGTTAAATCCTCACTTTCTGATGCTACCAAACATTCCTCTTCAGTAACTTTCAAAAAGTCCTTAATAATCCAATTGGAAATTTTTCACCAGGGCTTTGAGGGGCATGAATTGTTACTGATTTCTCATTTTCACTAACATTAGTACTTTCAGGGTCAATGTTGGAGGGAAGCAGAGACAACTTTATCCAGTACCTCCCCTCAGTTCTACCTGACCCTGAAGAGTTTGACGCTGACAAAAATGTGAAAGGTATTCTGTTTCCCACGACATGTACCCTTCACTTTGATGACTACAGATTTACTTAGGAATATAACAGCTCTATTTCCCAGTTAAATATCTCATCAAACCACCTCAGGCTAAAGATCATTTTTGTGTATTCATGGACAGAAGAAAACAAATAAGTATAGACCTACGCATTGATATAAAGAAACTCTAGTTTTCCATTGAACTGCCCTCTGAGAATCAAGTCTCGTCGGAGAGAGAAAGAGAGTGATCCTTTCTCAGGGCAGATTTTATTTTAGCTTTGTTGAAATTACCCAAACACTCCTTCCACTTGTTATAATTGCAACTGATAAGTAATTGCATAGTTTATTTTCCCATCAGCTGAATCGAGTTTTGCCAACACTGGGAGTGAACTCACAGTCAATTACTGAGCTATTGTTGCTGTAACATTCCCATTGATACAATCCTGGACTGAAGCCACAGATATTGCAACTGAAGAAAGGCAAGACTAGCCTAGTAAAAGAGTTGAGATGGACGTTAATACTAATCACATGGTAGTATTAGTTTCAGTGTTGCATGACAAGGTATTCTTTAAACATGGGAAACTGCTTACAGGCTGTCAAATTGTAAATGTGATCTGCAGATCTGTATCCCTGAGAAAGCAGCATATGTGTGTGTGCGTGTGTGAATGATACGAAAATAGGAAGCAGAGTAATTAATAAAGGAGTTGAGGAGTCAACTGGCAGATCAATTCAACTAAAATATTCAATGTGGCAACAAGCACATCTTCCAGCAGGACTCTCTTGATATTAATAACAAAATAATCCTTGCATTTGATATTGTATGTTTCACGTCGGGAGGAAGTCTTAAAGCATTTCAGAGGATTTAGTGTAAAGTGTAGTGACTGTGTGTTTTATATTTTTACCTCCCTATCCAAGAGGTACCGAGTACAACTGTAGTGCCACAGCTGAGATTAGCAGAGACCTGTTAATCTGCTGTGTTTGACTAGTGCTGCACCAGCAACAGGACATGAAAGCTCTAACGTGGAGAAAGTGCACCCAAATGCTTTATGCACTGCGCGATCGGGGGCTTCTCTCACTGTTTAAGTACCGCTTTTTATTGTATTGAAGGCCATGAGACTCTTTATATAATTATATTATATATTACAGAAACTGCTCTAGTCAAGGACACAAATGACATCCTGACCATGTGCGACCAGGACTCCCTCTGCCTCTGCATCCCTCCTCGACCTCTCCACTGTCTTTGACACCGTGGGTCACTCAATCCTCCTTCACCGCCTCTCCTCCCACCTCAACCTTCAAGGTTCTTCCTTGACTGGTTCAGGTCCTACCTTTCACGCCACCTTCACTTTGTTGCAGCAAACGGCTTCTCCTCCAGCCCCCGCACCGTCTTGTGCGGTGTTCCTCAGGGCTCTGTCCTCGGTCCCCTCCTTTTCACTCTCTACATGCTCCCCCTTGGTGACATCATCCACAGACATGGGGTAAATTTCCACATGTATGGGGATGACACCCAACTCTATCTCTCTGCCTCCACCCTGAACTCCAGGACTACTGGCGTCCTGACTGACTGACTGTCTGACATCAAGACCTGGACGAGGGATAACTTTCTCCAACTCAACTCAGCGGGCTCCGATCTGCTCCATGTCTCCTGCCCGACCCGCCCTACCATCGGTGGCCGGGCTTTCAGCCTCTCTGTCCCCACGCTCTAGAACTCCATCCCTTCGGTCCCTTCGCTTTGCTTCCTCCCTTGCCTCCTTCAAGGCCGGTCTCAAGACCCTTCTCTTCGATCTATCTTTGGTCTCACTCCCACCTCTCTGCCTTCCCTCACCCCTACACCACCCCTCCTCCCCCATGCTCGGGCCCCAACACCTGACTGTTCAGTGATTTGGGGCGTCCTTCCTACGTGAAAGGCTCTATAAATGTAATTATATATATATGTATATGTACACATAAAAATGCGATTGACATACAATGCGATTGATTCCCCAGCAGAAAGGGGAAATCAAGACCTTATGGCTGTCTCACGAGTGCACCTGACTCACGGCAGAGTTTGCCCATCCTTATCCTGTGGCGTTTAGTGAAACCAAAACCAGGAACCTCGGTCCCAACACACACCATAAATATCTATATGCCACCTTTAACCATTCTACTGAGTTGGAGGGAGGGTGGATGCAGCGGTTGTCTCTTTATAAGCACTGAATTACAGGATTGGTAAATATACCAACATGAGGAAAATAGCCTTCTGAAGTGACAAAAAAAAGTAATAGGAAACAAGGTCATAGAAACATACAAAGAGGATTAGGCTATTCAGCCCCTCAAGCGTGTTCTGCCATTCTATAAGATCATCGCTGATCTGTATCTCAAGTCCAGTTACCTACCTTTGCCCAAGATCCCTTAATACCTAACAAATATTTATGTACCTCTGTCTTGAAAATGTGAATGGATCCAGCATCCAGAGCCTTTTCGGGGAAAGAGTTCCAGATTTCTACTACCATTTGGGTGAAAAACTGCTTCCTGATTTCACTCCTAATCAGCCCAGCTCTAATTTTAAGATTATGCCCCCTTGTTCTGGATTCCCCACGAGAGGAAGTAGTTTCTCTGTATTCCCTATCGAAACCCTTTATTACTTTAAAAACCTCAATCAGATCACCCCTCAAACTTCTAAACTCAAGGGAATAGAGACCAAGTTTATGCAACCTGTCCTCATAATTTAACCCTTTAAGTCTTGGTATCATTCTGGTGAATCTGTGCTGCACCCCCTCCAGAGTCAATATATCATTCCTGAGGTGCAGTGCCCCAAATTGAACGTTGTACTCCAGATGGGGTCTGACCAAGGCTCTATATAGTTGAAGTATCATTTCCTCTCCTTTATATTCCAGCCCCCTTGAGATAAAGGCCAACATCCCATTAGTTTTTTGATAACTTTATGGACCTGTTAGCTTGTTGTTAGTGATTTGTGTACGTGGACACCCAAATCCCTTTGCTCCTCCACAGTTCTTAGTTTCTCCCCATTTAGAAAATATTCTGTTTAGCTATTTTTGGATCCATAGCGGACACTTCCCCACACAGCACTTCCCCAGGTCATCCCAACACAATGTATAAAACTGGCACAATGGCTGCCCGAATTAATTAAACAAATAATAACTAAAACTAATACAGGATATGTATTTTCCTGTTGTAGGATACTTGTAAGGATTAAAATACATCCATCTACTTTTAACATGGTGCCTTCTTATGTTCTTGGCATTGCACAACTGCAAGGAGAAAGGGGTTACCACAATAATAATAATATTCCATTTGATATAGTGTTTTATCACATCTTCTAGACAGCGCTTCACAAAATATATTGTAAAGTGAATTGACTGCATGTTTGTGGGCGAAACGTGGCATCCAATTGCACTCATGGATTGAGTGACCAAATTATTATTATTATTATTTCTTAAGGGATTATTATGCCCGGAAAAGCGATCCGCCAATCGACTACCATCCGGGTTTCTTCTTACTGCTAGGTACACAGAGAGCTACTTAATTAACTGCCTCCACTTCATCTTGGCAAATGGTTTTTCGTCCTGCCCCCGCCCCGACACCTGCGGAGTACCCCAGGGCTCCATCCTTGACCCTCTTCTTTTCCTCATCCATCCCACTTGGCGATGTCATCCGCAGACATGGAGTGAACTTCCCGTCAATGTCTTCACTCCTATGAATCTGAACTCCTCAACCTCCCTGGGCTCTCCCTCAGACTCACCGAACCAGTGCGTAATCTAGGGATCCAGTTTGACCCCAGCTGTCCTCCCTCCCCCACATCGCCCCTGACCCGGACCGTCTTCTTCCACCTCCGCAACATTACCCGCTTCTGACCATACCTTACCCCAAATGCAGCCAAAACCCTCGTGCATTCGTTTGTCACCTCCGCTTGGATTATTCAAACGCACTCCTCGCCGGCCTCTCCAGCTCCACTATTCAAAAAATCCAGCTCATTCAGAATTCTGCCACCTGCATACTGACCCAGACCAAACTCCATACCCACATCTCACCATTTCTGGCCAGACTCCACTGGCTCTCCATCACCGAATGGTTCGACTTCAAGGTCTTCACACTCGTGTTCAAATCCCTTCACTCCCTGGCACCTCCCTACCTCCCCAACATCCTCACTCCCCAATCCACTACCCAGCACCTCTGCTCAACTGGCACCGGCCTCCTGCTTGTCTTTCGCATCCTTCGCTCCATCATTGGAGGTCACGCATTCAGCCACTATGCCCCGAAACTCTGGAATATTCTCCTTCAATCCTCCTCCACCTTGACCCCTCTCTCCCCTTTTTCCACTTGAAAAGTTTCCTTTTGACCATACTTACGGTCACTTCCCCACCCCCCGCCCGGCTCGGAGTCAGGCACCGCCACTGTTAAGTGCTCTGAGACGCTGGAGGGCGCAAGTTGCTGTTGATGATCCATCCTCTCAGTTGCGAGGTGAGTGTCCTAACCACTAAGCTACAGGACTCCACTGATTTGTATCAATCTAACGCCAATGAAGCATCTTTGCAGTGTATGTTTCTTCTTAATAAGACAGGCCAGAGTACTGGTAGGGAACTCGGCACAAAGATTCTTAGTTTGAGCTTCCTTAGCGCGCATGCTAAATTTAACATTAATGTTCTCATAGTGTACTACAATTCAAATCTGTTCTTCATATTATGTGTGGGGCCTGAGAAGTGATATTGTGTTCATGATGTGTTATTTCCTCAACTGTATACTTCTGTAACTTTTCATAACAACTCACCAGTCCTCGAGCACTACCCTGAGCTGTTTAATCTAAGAGCTCTACTAACCCACCTTTCTCATTCTTTTTGTGTTTTCTTCCCAAAGGATCTCCTGTCTAAAAGACATACACACTCTCTTCTAATAAGATCCATTCCTCCTCTTCTTTCCACATTTCATCCCAGCCTCTCCCTGTCCTCATCTCACCTGCCTCACCCTCTCCACATCCTGTCCCAGCTTCACCTTCTCCACATCCTGTCCCAATCTCACCCTCTCCTCATTGTTTCCTAGCGTCATTTTCACCTCCATAAAGATATTACAGTACAGTACTATGAAAACAGTAGATGGATTTCTCAACTAAACTAAGAAGTTACAAATTAACATTTATACAGCATTGTGAGGATGTTCTGAGGCAGTGGACCAGTGGAAAGTAAATTTGTTTATTCCCTTTTCATTCCTGATGAAGCATGTGTAAAGCGTTTGAAGTCCTTTACTCAAAATAATGGACAGTGACTATAAGAAAGCACCCGAATTATCCTTTTCTACTGTGTATCAACAACTCACGCGCAACACAAATAAAACAGCTAAAATATTTACAGACCTCAAGCTTTATCTACGTTTGTTTAATAAACAATTTAACCTTCTTTGTAATTTGTATTAGGGTTAGGTTATAAACAAATTATGGTGACGTAATTAGCTTCTGCACTTTACATTCATTGGTAAAATAAACCACGCACAAGAAATGTATCTGATTCCGTGAAGAAATGTGGGACTAGTTCATGGGATTAGAGTTCGACTTACCTTCCATAGCAGGACAGCGAGCAGCAGAAAAATGAGAATTCCCACAAAAAGGCTAATGGCAATGATCCATCCCACAACATAACCACGGGGCTCCAGATTGTGCAATGCCTCAAACACCACCTAAATATAAAGAGAGCAGTGTTAGCACACAGACAGTGAGGTCTGCAGTTCAAAGAGAGCAAGGAAAGGAAGCAAGCTCTGCCAATTACTCATATGTTTCTGTCAAGTGCAATGGATTTTGTAGGCAAAAATGGCAGACAATTTGCTCAAAGCAATGTCCCACAAACAACCACGAATGACCAATATTTTAGCTGGGTGATTGTTGGCCAGGACATCAGGAAAAACTCCCTTCTCTTTTCAAGTAGTGACATTGGATCTTTAACATTCATCTCAACAGGCAGGCGAGACCTCAGTTTAAAATATTATCCAAAGAACAGCACTTCTGAAAACGCAGTGCTCCCCCAGCACTGCATTGGAGCATCAGCCCAGACTATGACCTTAAAGTCCCAATGTAGCCATTTGTCACAGTTTATGCCTCTAACACTAGCAAACTGTTTTGCCCGGTACACGATCTGGGGTGCAGGCCGCCTGCTTATGGCATGGCACTTAAAACTGACACTCCTGATTTGCCACAGGCCTGTCAATATCTGGGACATATTAGAGACGACAGTCTCTAATGTCTCTATGTCAAGACATACAAGAGTCACATGAATTAATTCCACTTTTCCTCAACTCCCTCCCCCCTCCCTCAACTCGGGCTTCCAGCTGCACTGTGTGAAGTGCTTTGAGATGTCCTCCTAATGCGAAAGGTGCAACAGAAATATAAAATTATTGTTGTTGTATTGCAAATCTATTGAAACAGACGGAGCGAGGTTCATTTCAGGAATGCAGCATTAAATACATCGTTCATGTTTATTACTTGAATGTTCTCCCTTTAATCTGAAGGCAATGACTCATGCTTGGGTACACTGCCATGAGTGCTTGCTTGGCTGCCCTCTGACCCTTGGTCCACTTTTACTGTGAGCCAAACAACAAGCACTGCCAGCCCTGTGCTTGGTTCTTGTGCAGCTCTACAGGCCGGTATTTAAATTAGAAACATCAGCTGCACTCTCAAACATCTGCCCACAACAGCTCCCACACAGAACAAGTTGTGGAAATTATTTGGATCACAGCTCCGCCCTCACCAGTATGCCACTGTGAATAAAAGGCCAACACCATCTGACTTTCAATACGGTTTTATTTCTATTTTCCACTAGGATTGAGTTGGTTTGATCACAACATTTGTGAGCTATCTTTGAAACATGCCAGTGAATCTAATACTATTTAAAAAAAAGGTCCATTAAAAAGTTCCTGCATGTTCCAGTGGATCGTCCAAGACCGATTGTTAAGCAGAAGCCAAACTCGGTATTTATGCTGGAGAAAGCAAGAATCAATGCTGAGAGCAGCTCCACAAGGTGGTCCTACAGTCGGGGCTTCAGCATCATTCACTCACACATCGCGTGAGTGTATGCAGGGCTGCCATGCCAAAAAGCTGTGAAGAATGCAGTAAAACCTTGACATTAATCTGTATTTACTTAAAAACAAGTATGTTAAAACTGTAGACTTCAACTGTGTGTGGTGGGAGGGGTTGTGGGGGATGTGGGAAGTCCGCTGAAACCACAGTGTAACCACAACGTTGCCAGGCTCACAGCTGCCCTCGTCTCACTATCATACATCATAAACAATGTGGCAAGACTGAGGTGGTGGCTGGGAGGAAACCAAACATTTAAGAATAAACAATGACTGCGCTCATTTTATACATCGCACAAGGATTTCACACATGTTAAACACTGGTACGGACTAGATGGGCCGAATGGCCTGTTTTCAGGCTGTAATGATTTATGTGTAAAGGAATCCAGAGTAACAGAATCCTGCAGCCGTGGAATGAGATTGACCCTGGTCAACAACAGCAGCAATGTGCCTTATATAACATAGCTCCTTTCATGTAAGGAGAATGACCCTGTAGCCTATAAAACCCATATTACAATTCACACGGGTGTTCGCAGCTATTAATGCAGCAGCCCAGCTCACTTTGTAGCGAAGGCTTCTCCAGCATGTGTGTTGGGACAGAAACTTACAAAAACATGAAGCAGGCTGATGCAGCACAGCCAGATCAGCACAAAGTACTAGGACGGGATCATTTGACAAACAGCTCTGGGCAGTACTTTACACATCTATATTGCATACAACGGGGTCAGTTTAGTGGCCACACTCTGTGTATATAACAGGATATGCTAACGGGATATGAGCTTGTTGAGTGTTTTGTTTATTGAGAAAAAACAGTAACATCAACGAAAAACACAGTCACAAACTATTCAAGAAAGACTCCATGATCCACGGGCTATTCACGACTCCCTGCTCCATAATAATATGAATAATATGATGGGCTCTAAACCAACAGGTCTGCTGATCTATTGAGAATGTGGGTGGAGTATGCAACAAGCCCATTGGGATCCATTTGATGCACTAAATATCAAAAGGACCTGGATGTTTGGGTCACAGACATATGTGATGCTAAATTGACTCCAATAAATGCTTCCCAACCAGATCAGCACATTGAAAGGTTAGAGTGACTAATGCAATGGGTAATGTACGAAAGCAGATGTTTCCTCACATTTTCACTGCAAGCCACACGAGAGACGTTCAACATAACGTCACCAGAAACAAATTATAAGGAAATTAAGCAAGGCAGGATGCTCTCTTAACCTGCATGTTTTGAACCATTCAGACCAGTCTGGGAACAGGACTTAAACTCATTGCTTTCAGTTTGCCTACAATTACAAGTCTGTAATAATAATAAAAGTAATAATCCTTACATTGGCATTGCACCTTTCATATCAGGACACCTTAAAGACATTCACAGGATTTGCTGCAAAGTGTAATGGCTATTTGTGAACAAAAGCTGGAGCCCAGTTGCGCACAGCAGTGTCCCACACACAACTATGAAACAAATAACTTATTTTATCTGTGGGATTGTGGGCCAGGACACCGGGAGAAACTCCCTTCTCTTTTCGAATAGTGTCATGGGATTTTTAACATTCACCTGAACAGGCAGTCTGGTTTAACATCTTATCTGAAGGATGGCACCTCAGGCAATGCAGCACACTCCAAGCCCTGCATTACAGATTAGACTTGTTCAAAGTCCCATATAACTCACTGAGATGTTCAGATCATGGCCAGCCAAATGAGTGAAGGATGGAGTGTTTATAGGTATTACCTGACTTAATCATTGAATTATTACCTATTGTGTCTATCTCTTTCTATAATGCACAACAAGAATATTAGAGGGTAGGTTGATTTTTGAAACAGGGCATGTTTATTCTTGCAAAAACGTCAGGGCCAAATGGGACAGCTGGGGTGTTCTATGTTGCTGATGTGAGAAGACATTGATAATTTTGCATTGAATTTGGTAATGTTTGGTATTTGATATTTGGTAATATCCAGTTTTCAGTATTCAATATTTGGTAACAGGGAACAGGATAAGGGAATATGAAGAGGTGAAGGCTGGTATGGAGTGTAAAGACTTGCATGGACCAGTTCGGCCAAATGGCCTGCTTCCATACTGTATCATCCTATGTAATTCTATGGTCACACACTCACTTTGTTCCTGGTGTACAGTGTATTTCCACACTTGACAGGGTAATTGCAGGTGCACACATTTTCATGGTCAGTACCTAATATACAGTCAGTGAACTTGACAGCAACTACTGGTGTTTCAATTGAAGTGGTTGAATTCCCCCCTCCCAAATAATCGAGTCCAGAGCTGCTCAAAACACCCTGACCGCTATCAACGTTTAGTGACAGCAGAGCAGGACACCACTGTTGCAGAGGGCAGTGTTTCAGGGCTACTTCACGAGAATTCTAAATTCACTAAAAACTTTGTAAGCAAGAACTTTGTAGGAAACAAAATGACACTTTAAGCACATGAGCTCTGCTTGGAGTTAATTTTCTACCACACATTGGGGGATGGGAACTCTGGAAATGTTTATCACATTTCCTCATGTATGCGGTCAGGATTGAGCTGAAGGGCTGGGACTAGTTTTCTACTCATCCCTCAGTGTTCCACAGCTGAAGTGTGTTCCCCCTCTCCCTCAGCAGATCACTGGCAGTAATCACAGACTTGACAGCCTCAGCCCCAGGCACAGATTGCCTTCCGTCATGTCTGAAAGTTACTGTAACTTTTTAAAAAAGAGGGGCCACTGACTCCACAGAAAAAATATTTAATGAAATGTCCTTTTTGTTTGGAGCCATTATAAACAACAAATAATCCTTGCAAATGATATCTTGCAAATGAGCACTTTGTGACGTTGTCAAAACGTCACAAAGTGCTCCATAGGATTTTACTGAGAAGTTTCTTTGTTGCAAAATGCCAACAGAATTATAGGGAAAGGCAAGTGTTGCTTTGATCAGCAAGGGGACATGAGTGATTCGCTTCAAATCAATGCTGAATTGTATAACTGATAATACTTCATTTCTTCTTGAGTTTATTGTGGGAGTTGAGGCTTCATAGTATTTCCATGACTCGTAAGCACATCAGGTTCCGTACTCTGCTCATACCTCATCCCGTTTTGAGTTTAGCAGCTTGTCACGATTTGCGTGAGTTGAGAGACGCAGCGCTCATTTCACAGGGGGGAAAATAAAATATCTTGCCAAACTCATTATTGTCCACATTAAAATCACTTGAAAGCAAAATTAAAAAGTCTAAAGAAAAACCCTGTTAAAATGAAGATGTTCACTGTGTGGTGCAAGGATATACTGTAAAGAATAATGACTGTGTATTTTATAGGTGAATACTAATATAATATTGTGCATGTTGAATCTCTACATTGAGACCGAATGTAGCGAACAAACTGCTTTCCTGACTGAATAAAAATAATCCTTGCATTTGACATAACACCTTATCACATAGTTGAGGCGTCTCAAAGCACTTCATAGAATATACTGCAAAGTGAATTGACTGTATACATTTTGTGGCCGAAACGAGTGATATCAGTTATCTCAGCACAGGCCAGGATTCGAACCTGGGGACCTTTGAGTCTGTATTGTCCTCCGTTACGGATAAATAACGTTCAATTGCTTACACCTCTGATAATACGATGATGGAAATTGTGATGAAACGATAAAAAAAACATATTGCATTTCAGTATGGACTTCCAAGACCGTGCATCAAATATCTGCAGCCACTTAAAAATCTAATGCTGCATCTATATTGCTTGAAACATCCTCAGGCTGTTTGAGAGCGAGGTCTTTGTAAGAAAAATGACGTCCCCAGTTCCTCTCTGTCCGTCTCCACTGAGGAAAGGACAGTCTGTTCATGAAGTCACTGCCTCTTTATAATGCATTGTTTTCATTGACTCATGACTGACCCAAGGTAAGTTGGCTTGGTATTTGTACATGGACAGTACTCACTGTAGAATCTTCTGGAAGTCCCCCTGCCACCTCCACCGTCCTACGGTCTGATGACACTGTTCCTTTTGCTCTAGTGACAAACTGGATAACTGATGCGCTGTCCTGTAGATCAGAAATAGAAATGATAAACACCTGTTTATTCCAGCTCTTGCCTCCCTGCTGAAAGTGGAGTCTAAAATGCGGCAATCTCAAAAGGGATTCCTGAAATAGGGAATCTGCGTGGTGACATTCTGCCACGCTCACCCGTGGAAACTCTGCTCCAGAAATACATCCACTGACAGTTCTGACAAAATCTCTGAAGTTTGGCTAAAACGTGTCGTTGAATGTGTTGTTGGGCAGTGAGGTCAGGAGCTTTGCATTGTATACAACTATTGATATATCTGGCCTCAGAGTACATCAATAATAAGCCTTGCTTATCACATTGTCAAAACATCCCATTCACTACAAAGTGTAATGACTGCTTTTGTGGGCGAATGCGGCAGCCAGCTTGCGCACAACAATGCCCTGCAAACATCCACAAAGTGAATGACCAATTTTATCAGGAGGATTGCTGACCAGGACATTGGGGGAAACTCCCTTCCATTTTTGAAACAGTGCCATAGAAGATTTAAAGTCCACCTAAACAGGAGAACAGAGGGAGAGGAGGAGCCACTTGAGGCTCACACTCGGTGCAACACTAACAATGATCACATTGCAAACACTATTTTGTCTTTAAACACTAGAAAGATTGAGCGTAAGAATTTTTTTAAAAAAAAGAGTACATGTAAGTGACTTCCTGATCAGTGCACATTACAGTCTATGGACATCAGCCAAGCCTGCCTCACCTTTTTGAGTATTTCAGTGTTGAGTAGTAAGCGCACATCAATATTCCTGGTTTCTTCCTTTGCTATCGAGTTTAGTTTACACTTGATGATCTGACAAGGTCGACCAGACCTGTCACAGTCCTAATAAAACCAGCAAGGTAGAAGAAAGGAAAATAAGACAGGTTAGCAACTGCAACCCATTACCTCAAACATTTTATAAAAATGATGCACAAGCAATCTTAAAAATGCTAAGCTATATTTTTTTCTTGTGATATTTAATGTGATGATAACTGAAGGACATCTTCCATGAGGTGGCCCAAATATGTTACCTGGGGTCACATGCTGTTCACATTTGTTCTGATTTTTGTGAAACTATATTCTTTCTGCATATATTGTACAGAATACCTGAACAGACAGAATTATACCAGGGAAGAGGGACTTCAGTTATGTGGAGAGACTAGAGAAGCTGAGATTGTTGTCCTTAGAGCAGAGAAAGTTAAGGGGAGATTTAACAGAGGTGTTCAAAATTATGAAGGGTTTTGATAAGCGTAAATAAGGAGAAGCTGTTTCTATGTTTCCACTGATGGGTGGGTCGGTAATCAGAGAACACAGATTTAAAGATAATTAGCAAAAGTACCAAAGGGGAGATGAGGAGAAATTTATATATGCAGCAAGCTGTTACAATCTGGAATGCACTACCTGAAAGAGTGGTGAAAGCAGATTAAATAATAACTTTCAAAAGGGAATACTTGAAAATAAAAACAATGCAAGGTTGTGGGGGAAGATCGGGGGAGTGGGACTAATTGGATAGCTCTTTCAAAAGCACGATAAGCCAATTAGCTCCTTCTGTCCTGTAGGATTCGATAAGAAACGTTGTTGGGAGTAAGTCCAGGTACTGAGGTCTACTACATGAATTGTGTAGCAATGTTTAATGCTGAGTTGTATTATGTGAGTTGTGCAAATGCTGGGCTTTATTATATGAGATGTGTAAACCCACATATACAGCATGCTTTCACAAAGCTTATCTTGACGCTTTCTGAGAAGTGATTTTAATTATTATCTAACAGTTTTGTTGCTTCCTAACTCATGCACCAATGGGATGGAGTCAACCTACTGACATTATCATGGTACCTGGGATGCAGCTAATAAGACTGATGCAGCCTGATGCAACCAAGTGAAAAGTACCAGTGGTTTAGTGTAGCAGGTTGGACGTGGAAGCAATGTGGAAGTTACACCATGCTATCAGCAGAAATTCCAGGCTGAAGGACTCGCCATCATGCAGCAGAGCTGTATAGCCTTGCTCACCTTGTGAGACTGTTGTGTAGTAAGTGGTAAAAGGCATCACTCACCACTATTTTCCTGCCAGACTTAGTGAAGAAAGCAAAAATTGTGTGGAAGATGTTCTCCCTGTCCTGAGGTATGAAGCAGGGCTGGGGGTTTCGGTGAAAGGTACAGTTGCCTCCCTCATGTCCGATCTGAATTAAGAACAGAGTCAGGAACAATGAACATTACAGTATATTTCATCAGTTTAGAGTACAAGGCTGATATCTCTATGTTCAAACTCAGTTATAGACATTGATTGCAGAGTGAGAGGTTCCATATATGACAATAACATCAATCAATCAATTTGATCAAATTGATCAATTGATTCAATCAACTGAATAACCAATTGAAAGCATAATCATTTATTAATACAACAACAGCAACAACAAAATTACATTTGTAAAGCACCTTTCATGTCGGGAGGATGTCCCAAGACGCTGGACAGACAGAGTTATGGACCTGAGGTCGGGTAGGGTGGAGGGCAGGGGTGGGGAAGCAGGGAGTTCGAAAGCACGATTGAAAGGAGGGTTTTGAGGTGGGTCTTGAGGGTGGCGAGGAAGGGGGGTGGGGGGGGGCGGGAGACGGAGGGACTGCGGGATGGAGTCCCAGAGGGTGGGTGCAGAGTGGCGGAAGGCCCGCTCGCCAATAGTGGGGCAAGCAAGACGGGGGACGTGAAGCAGGCCGGAGCCCGCTGAGCGGAGGAGCGAACAGGGTGGTAGGAGTTTAGGAGGTCAGAGAGATGGGGGCAGCAAGACCATGGAGGGCATTGAAGGTGAGGACCAAGATCTTGAACTATATCCTCTGTGCTATACAAATGTAATCTTGTTGTTGTTGATGGGAAGTCATGGAGTTGGGCAAGGATGGGGGTGATAGGGTCACGGAGCCTGGTGCGGAAGAGGACATGGTCTGCAGAGTTCTGGATGATCTGCAGTCTGTGGAGGGAGGAGTTGGGGAGGCCGACAAGCAGTGAGTTTGTATAGTCAAGCCTCGATGTAATGAATGCGTGTATGAGGGTTTCAGCGGCCTGCGGTGTGAGACAGTGTCGGAGCCAGACGATGTTGCGGAGGTGGGGGAAGACAGAGCTGGTCATGGCGCAGATGAGGGGTAGAAAGAATAGATGAGGGTCAAACAAGATCCCAAGGTCCTGGACATTAATAATAAGCAAGTTCCCCATATACTGTAATCAGGAACTAGGAATTGAGCCTCCACCTTTTCATTTTCAGCACAATTAACCTGCAGTACGAGCTTTACAATACACTTGGGATGATCTTTATTGTTTAAATTGGTGCATACGTGTTACATTCACTGTTCCCAACAGGTCACCAAACCCCAATGAAATTAAAATGATGAGTTTTCACAAGCGACTGATCCTTTGTTGATCTCCTTTCCCACTGCTGGTAATGTGGAAGATAGTCAAAGTGTCCAGAGTCATACTCAATTCACTCAGGTCCTATTCACCCAATGTTATTGTGTAGCAACTAATACCCTCTTGGCTGTTTTAGCTATTTTTGCTGCTTTAGTAACTGAGATCTGATGCATGGATTGCTTTAATGGTTCTTGGTTGCTGAGATTGGGAAACTGTTAACATATGTTTTAAATCGTGGAATGCTGCCATCATTCTGACATTGGATACCATTTTTTTTAAAAAGCACAAAATATTGCTATACAGTATGTATTCCAGCTGCAATATGCATTTCTATATTAATTGAGTGTCATGAATATAGTCCATTTTTTCACACAGAGAGTGGTTAGAATATATCGAATAGGGTGGGTGACAATGGGCAGTCTTGCCTTATCCTCCTTTCAAGAGGAATGGGCTCAGGAAGTATACCGTCAACTTGGAATTGAAATACACATTCAAGATCAAATCCAAGAGGCCTTAAGCACCTTCAGAAACAGTATGTATCCATTAAACGCAATATTGCTTTCTAATCCTAATATTGTAGTAACTTAATCATAATATTATAATAATCCTTGCATCTGGTATAGCGCCTTATCATGTCTTTCATTAATCTTGCATTTATATAGCACCTTTCATGTAAATGAAATGCCTGAAAGCATTTTCCAAAATATATCTAATTAGAAATGAAAGTGAACGTTGTTATCAATTTGTTTTAGTGGGACACTGCAATGTGAAGCTGGCTATCGCCTACAAATACGCAGTCACTGCACTCAACATTAAATCCTGTGAAATGCTTTGAGAAGTTTCCACTATGTGATAAGGTGCTACATCATTTGCAAGGATGATTGTGATTATGACATTGGGAAGCTGCTTTAACCCTAGGAGTTTAATGGAATGGCATCTTGCAGTGCTGATCTCTGGAAGGCACAAAGTTATGGAGGGACAGCACAACTCACAGTGCTGATGGTTGTCATTGCTGGAGCTGCAGAGTATGCAGTGCTTACAGCAGCTTAGTCAGGCTTACAACACTCCTTTGACAGGGTAACTGATTATCAATGAATAGGTTACCACACTTTCCACCTCCTCAAAGTCCTCTGGGAAGCAGATGTTTCTGACTTTTCTGCACTCTGCCTTCCATTGAAAGATACTCATGGGAAAAGCACTGGAATGCTGGGGTTAGCCAACCTCTGTCACAGCTCCAACTCTTGTTTATGTATTCAGTTAATCTATTTATCTATCCATCATATTTGTAAGTCTGGTGCCAAGCCTAATTATTCACGGCAAAATTATGCAGATTAATTTGGAGCATGAGCTTTGTTTCCATTTACCTCTCTGCCACGCAAGCCTAAAGTAACTCCTCGAGTGATCAGGCACATTAAAATAAAATAAAACTTCAAAAGAAACAGACTGCATGAACCCAGAAGCTCTATGACACACAAAGGACATGCACTTCTTTCAGCCGTTCAAGCACTAGAAGACAATCTGGTGTGTAAGAAATAGTTTGTGCGTGTGGGCGTTCCAACTTCGAATGTATTTTTCTTTTCTCTTTTGATCCCTGCTCCCTTCCATGTCACAGGTCATTTCCTGACCAAGAAGGCAGGAGGCAGCAATTCCCAGGCCTTGTCACTACTGCTCGTCAGCAAGCCCGCAGGAGGTCTTCAACAGTGACCCAAACTGACTCTCCCCTTTGGTTTCCTCTCCGTTCATGCTGGGAAGCATTTGGCCCCCATTCTTCCTCAAAGCTTGCTGAGCCTGGGAATTTGCCACCTGGGGCATCGCAGGGCAAAGCCATGTCTTGTGCCACGGCGCACTGGCATTGGATTGTGCCACCTCCACTTGACAGAGGTAAATGTGAAATGGCTCCTCCACTCTGAAAGCAGTGGGCAGAGTTATTGCCGTGCTTTTTGAAGTGAGGTTCTCTGTGTTCAGTAGTTAATGAAGCACAGAGCTCGTCAAGGCAAGTCATAGAGCACATCTGTCAGTAAATACCAAGAAACAGGCAAGGGCAAAGCAACTAATGACAGAAATAGCTTCAGCTTGATTAAAGTAAGTTTCCTAGGGATGGAAATCTGGATCTCAATATCCAGCTTTTATAGTAGAAATAGGGCTTAAGCCCATTCACCATCACGTGGATATTTTTCATTTATCTCATTAAAAACATTTATATTCGGAACTTTTCATTTCGCTTAGCAAGACTCGTAAATTTTTGAGCTGAGAATGGAAGACTTTTGCCCCCTTTGGGCACCCAGGCTTATCGTCCAGTATCACAAGGTCTCATATGGCACGAGTTAAAAGTTTCCTGTATTGTGCAACAACAATGGGATCCCCCGGTTAACATTGACTAAGAGCAATGATAAACATTCAATAAGAAGATACAGCAAGGATACAGCAATCAATAGTAAAACAGGCACCAGCATGGGGGATGTGGAAAATCGCCAACCAAAATAGGATTGAATTTAAGATGGTTTTCCTAAAATTCTGCACGGCCTTATATTTTAAGACTTACACTTACCTTATATTTCTCAAGCTTACCAACAAGAGAAATCCAGGCCTCTGATGCTGTAAAATTGCACTGAACAATTTCTTCAAAGGCAACAGAATCATTAACAACCAATTGATAATTGATGCACTCACTCACCACTGTCTCTTGGATCAGGAACATGTCAGCTCCACTCGCCGAAAGCTTGCTTGGAATCATAATTTGGACGAGAAGTTCTGGGACACTGCTTGGACCCATATTTATAACCTTTAGTATAAAAACACAGAAATGTAAAGGTGTCACTGTTAATATCAGACTATATAGAGTGTCACAGCTAAAATTACAAAGGCAAGGTCGAAGATGAGTGTTTTTAGATGGAACTTGAAGGAGGTCAGAAAGGTGGATGAGGCAGAGGGATTGCGGGATAGAGTTCCAGAGTATGGGGGCAGAGATGCTGAATGCCCGACCTCTAATGGCGAGGCGAGAGGTGTGGGGGACCTGGAGCAGGCCAGTGTCTGCCGAGAGGAGGGAGTGGACAGGTTGATATGGGATTGGAGGTTGCAGAGGTAGGGGGAAGCAAGACCATGGAGGGCTTTGAAGGTGAGAACGAGGGTATTAAACTCGATTTTCTGAGGGAAGGGGAGCCAGTGAAGCTGGGCAAGGATGGGGGTAATCGGATCGCTGAGTCTGGTACGGGAGAGGACACGAGCTGCAGAGTTCTGAATAATCTACAGGAATAGAAGGAATAGAAAAGTATAGGAGGGGTGAAGGCTCACGTGGTGTATAAATACTGGCACAGACTAGCTGGGTCAAGTGGCCTTTTTCTGTGCTGTACATTCTTTCTAAATTTTTGTGTCAGCCTGACTCAGTTGGTAGCACTCTCGGCTCAGGGGTTAACACATTACAGAGAAGGCAATCTTGAGGAATAAGCAGAATTAGGTTAAACTGATATTACAAGGCACTATCCCCTTGAGGTGGGGGGAGAGGTGAGCAATATCTCTTTGAGGACACAAAGTGATGTGTCCACCTATGGATTGTCAGAATTGAGTCAACCCTCCGTAGGGGTCTCGAAAATTTGGATCGTGAGCCAGGCGGTCTGCACTACTCCAGATCACTGCTGCTGCAGACCCTGGCTCACCGGCAGGACGTAGAAGGATAGACCAGTCGCTGGAGGCAGGGATTCTTCCCTCTCGGCTCCTGTTAACACTGCAAGCCAAAGCCCTAACGGGTAGGATGGTCCTAGCTGCATAAGCAACAGGAAGCTTGTCAGGCAGTGATGTCAATGGCACGCTGGTTATACAGCAGTAAACTCCAGCAGTACCCTATACATTAAATCTTGGCTTTCATTAACTTGCACCTAAATTCTCTGGGATTAGGTAAACAGGATGTTTCCCTCCAGGAGGAGAGTGTGCATGCCATACCAGACACAAGAACATTTCCATGTATATGTAGTTTGAATACTTTTAAGCATAGCAACTGTGTGTCAGATACCCGGCTAACCCAGCAAATAGATCAAAATCAACTGGGCAGAGATTTCTGTTGAGCAAGCTGGTTTGGATGCAATGATTGGCTTTAAGCAAGCCACTGATAAAAGTGAATGGCAAACAGTAAGAAACGTTCAATCAGAGGTTGTTTACTTCATTTCATACCCATGGGGTAAAGATATGTGGCAAAGCATGGCAATATTATAAAGTTGCCTTTAATCAACCGGTGATCTGAAATTTCTCATGGTCTTAGATTAATGATATTCAACTTAAAATTTAAGATTGTGCTGAATTCTGAAAAATACTCAAATTCAGTCTCAATTTGGAAGCTGGCTCTTTTTAATAACTGTGGAAATCTATTTCCAAATTAAGTTACGAATTTAACATTTTTCAAAAGTTCTGCATGATTTAAACGTTATGGCAAAATAGTCTCAAGGGTAGTAAGCCCAAGAGAAATTTCAAGCCCTAAGTTGACAAGCTGTCTCTCATTCACCTGCCTGTTCCATTAATGAATTATATAATAACAACTTGTATTTACATAGCGCCCTTCATGCAGGACAGTGTCTCGGAGCACTATTCACTGTCGGGGTTGGACGCTGAGCCAGGGAGGAGTGGGAGGTGACCACAGGTGCAGTTTCTACAAGATAGAAACATCAACAATGAGCTGATACGAAAGTCTCAGAAAAGTTTCCTCCTGTCATTTGCAGGGATGTAGGAACTTGTACAATTTCCAACTCCAGGATGATACAAAGCCATAACTCCTTTCCTGCTGACATACATTTCCCCCGTTAATGGAAGTAGTGGGATCAGAACAAGATAAATAAGAACTGTCACTGGAACGAAGCAGGCATGCAGTTGAGCTGGAATATATACTTAAGTGCTGAGTGTGTTTCCCAGGGGGGTGGTTTATGTCTGTTGAAGGAATGTGAGGAGAGTGAAGCTGCATGTCCCCTGCCAAGACTATGCACCAAACCAGGGAAACAGAAAAGGAGTGAGTTTAATTAGAATGCAGTTCAATGTTACAAATCTTCACGGTTTGTCATTGCTCAGTCAACATACCAGCTTAATCAATGTGGGCAAATTTTGTGCAACTAAAAGTCAAATACACACGTGTTCTTTGACTTTCACAGTAGCATTTCTTAACTCTTGGAGTGCCAAAAGCCCTGTGTGCAGCGCCCACATCACATACACAGTTTAGTCAAGTTACTTGTCAAAGCACCCCTCTTGATTCCAACCCCAGCTCTGGTACAAATCCTTGACTGCTCAAGGCTTTGGGACGCCATCCTGATGTGAAAGACACTATATAAATGCAATTTGTTGTTTCTGTTGTTTGAATGCATCCCAATTCTACACATTGATTTGTTACCATTTGCAATGTGAAATAAAAATTACCGCCAACATGCCTGAGAGCAGATCTGATTTGATGTCAATCCTGGAGCCAGAGCTCAAGTGCATCTTCACATGATACTGGCTGAGTAACAGTAATGATTTAAGCTTACAATAGGAAACCCCATTAAAAGCTTACATACACTGCCAGGGGTGAAGTCATCATAGTCAGCGGATAACTGCCGAGACCCAATGGCAGTAAACTAGATTTAATCCCATCAGCAAAGAAGCTAACACTATAGTCAGCTTTATACAAGCAGCTGGCAGCCAAAGGGGTCAATAATTGATTTGAGGAGTATGAAATATTTTGAGGATTCAGTGTTGATCCTGATACATTGAAAACAGGTTCTTACTTTCGATTCTTTATTACTTTTGGGCAGAAGTACGGTTGCTGCTGTCAATCAAAAAGAAAACCCAGAGGAAAGCTGACTGCCAAAGAAAAGGAAAATTTGGAAAATTCCCTTGGTCTCATCTTAGGGAAGGTTTCAAGGTTAAATTGAGGAGGATCGGTCCAGAGCCAAACACAAATAATGCTGTATTAGAAGTAGGCGAACGGACATTCACCTCAAGCAGAAACCCAACCCTTAATCCGAGGGTTTAAGAAGAAAATAATTTGCATTTTCAGAGTATCTTTGCATGTCGAAACATCTCAAAGTAGTCATTCTTGTCAAGTGTAATAACCACCTTTTTGGAGGCAATTGCACTAGTTGTCTGCACCAGGAAATCCTCACAACAGCCATGAGGTGAACGGCCAATTAATCTGAAGGAATTTCAGCCAAGACACTGACAAATTCCCTTCTGTTGTGCATTTCTATTATAGGATCTTTGACCTACACCTGAACAAGTAGACTGGACCTCAGATTCATAACTCATTGAAAAGATGGTACTACCTTCCAGTAATGCAGCTAGGGCTTGAATTTACAACCTTCTGAATGAAAGGTGAGTTTGCTACCAAGTGAGCCAAGCTAACATTAACTATAAACAACCTGATCACAACTCATGGTATGAAAATGCGTTAACTCAGAGTGAAAGAAGTGTTTGCAAACCTGAACAAATCTTCTGGACCAAGCACAATAATCATTTAAATATGCTAATATATATTTTACATATGTTTTTACACTAATATCATGAAAACTGATTGGATTGAGCCTATGGATGATTGTTTCCATCACTCATAAAATGAATGAGCAACATATAATAACAAGCCAACTGAAGTAATATTTAATCCATTTTTTTGTATGGAACTTAAAACTACTAATTGAAGCCACTCAATTTTACTTTACCAAATAACACAATTTGATGTTTGGATTAAGCTATATTTAAGAGGCGAAAGCTTACCTGAAAGGTGAAGTTGAGTGGCTGAAAAAGGCAGTCTTCCATTTGAATAAATTTCGACACATCCACCGTCGAACCGTAAATGAAGGACGTTGGAGAAATTGATCTGCATGAATGAGTGAGAAGAAAGGGAGAGTGAGAAACACAGGCAATGAGTCCACTGATCCTAAAGTTCAGTTTGCCATCATCACAAAATGCTTGCTACTTCTTTTACTGTCAGCGAGACATTGGGGTCAAATTACAGTACTTCTTAATGGGATTCCTTTATAAGGCCGGTCATGCCAACGCCGTGTTTTCTGAAAATAGGAGTCCCAACAAAACCAAAATAAGAGTTGACATTTATATAATGCCTTTCACATTGGCAGGATGTCTTCAATAATTCAGATTCACAACATTCATTCACAGCTTTCGGAGGTCAGTCTGGTCCATCGCACTGTCTTTTGGCAATTCTGCTTCAGATGCTTTTAATCAAATTCCTTATTAAGAAATCCCACAAGTTAGACCCAGTATGTGCTTCACAACATCTGTTTACAGTGCTGAGCCTTTGCAAACGTTGGAATTTCAAACTATTGTTGGAGAGAAATTCCATCTGGGTCTAGGTTACTCTATTTACGCAACATTTTGGAGAGTCCAAAATTTGGCAAATTGTTGAATTCAGTTTTCTGCAGTTTTAAAATGTTCCGAAATGTTACACAAAAATAAAGTAAACAGATCCAGGTGGAATTTCTTCCCCTGCAACTTGATATTTCAGATGTAACAGTCTCTTGTTCTTCTGCAACAGCTTACATGTTTTAAAACAAAACAGTTTGTGCTGTTTTACTCTCTGAGAATTGAATGAAGATATTAGTAGCAAATGATTTATATGTTTATTTTATATATACTTCACATTTAATATATATGTACACATACATATTATAATACCCATGTACACATACATATATATTCTGCATACACAAACACATAAATTTATTCCTCACTGAGTATTACATTTGGCATTGAGTGTGAATCTGTTTAATTAGTAAATTTAGCAACTTCCACAGCTGTACCCTTACAATGGCAACCGTATTTTGACTGCACACTGGCCCAAGATCTGATAATTTACAATCACTTTCTCTCCTCACTCTGAACAGTACTCACTAGTGCCTTTCCTATATTACACTGTAATAGTAACCTGTCAGTCCCGCTCCTTTATCATACTGTAAAAGTAAATATCAGTCTGTATTGTCTATTGTACTGTTACAGTAACTCTCAATCCCTCTTGATTATACTGTAACAGTAACTATCAGGTCTTTCAGCACATGTTCAAGTTAAGATGTGACAGGCGAATTTACCCTGTAATAGCTGTGTCCACTTCATGTTTCAGAGGCATGGTGAGGTATAGGGTGTTGTCATGGAGAGATTCATTGCGTTCCACATTCCCACTGCAGAATACAAACACAGAGAGCCTTAAGCACCATATCAGCTACTAACAGCGATTACACACTAATTCAGGTCCACTCTTCAAGCAGCAGGTTGAACAGTTCAGAAATGATATGGAGCTTAATAAATGCATTAATACGGTTCAGTAGCAATGGTGCTATAGTATTTCAAATGACTGTCATGGACATAACTCCAGCCCATCAGTTTTCGAGAACATCCTAAAATAATACAATAGTTTGTGTCCATCAGCATTGCCCTTCTCGCCGGCTGATCTACTGCTGGTTCCTGCTGAGGTGCATGTGGTTGCTGTTGAACCTGAACTTCCTCAGCTTTTTGTTCAGCCGGGTGTCTGACACATGCGGAAACCCATCATCATGCTTAAGAATATCCAAACCAACAGAGTTTCAGGCATCCCACATACATTTGGAAATTCCCATGTAATGGAATGAATGCCCTCTCCCTGGAGAGACACATCTGCTGACCCAAGTTCAGAGAGGATGACGCGCAAGTTGTAAAGAGTCAAGGCTTGGGGACCCCAGAGTGTGCGTTGGGGTATTTCTAGAGTCTAACCAACTAAATCTACATAGCTTGCCATTGAAAACACAGTCTGGCAAGTTTCCCGCTACTTATCCATCTAAGACCACCCAACACATTAGGGCTTGAGCTTGCAGGGTTAACAGAAGATGAGTAGGAGGAATTCCTGCCCCATCCTCAGCTCTGCTCCAGCGTCGTACCCCAATTGTTCATTCTGTTGCAAACTCCTTACCATTTGCTCCAAGCAAGGTCCCAGTCAGAAATGTGTTATACTGTCCACTAGTCTCAGTGCTCACCTGCCATTCACTGCCCTCACTTTTTTCATTAACTCCATCTTTGATACTTTACTGTCACCCTTCTCACTGTGAAATGCTGAACAATTTCCTCTTCAATGGCCTTAGATAAATTACTTTGGCCTTTTGTTCTCCCTCTTTGATCTGTTGTTTTACTCATCCTTTGAGGAACTGGACTTCCCAAACTATTAGGAAGTACTGACTGAAGATTGTTACATTCTCCCATCATTTCACCCCTGATTACTCACACAATCATTTTAATTAAGATCAGTAAATAGAGAAACTTAGACTCTTTAAAATTCATTTAGTATTGATGGATATCACATTTCACTACAACTACACAGCCTGTGACTAGCTTTGAGTAATTTCAACATTATAGATAGCATATCAAATACAAGATAATTTCTTCCCATTAAGATTAAAACTAAAATCAATTCTCCCATCAAAAGTATGTCCTTTTTCCCTTAGCCAGACTTTGTAACTCCTGTATCTCAGTAGAGTCTAAGTGCTCTGAGATGCTACCCTGTGTGGAGGGCGCTATATAAGTGCAAATTGTTGCTGATGTTGTTGAGTCCCTCTTGAAGAATGGAACTCATCACGGTTTGAAGCTGTTAAGTGTGACTCTTCTGTCAGTCAGTGGTGGAATACAGAGGTCAGTGACATTTCTGGCTTTTGTTCAAAAATGACAACACTGAATAGTTGGCATTTGAAACTTGAAATTTCATCAGCACTTCAAAACTCACTTCAAACACTCAAAGCTCAAAAACAAATCATTTGAGAAGCAAGAGTAAGAACTCAAGAATGTTGCTTTTGGATGTTTTGACCTCTCCTTCCTCCCATTTTGACGAAAATGTCTCACTGAGAAAGCCTTGATTTATTAGGGAGAAACAACACAATTGAACCCAATCCATTCATAAAGTCTCACCCATATATCGGGGAATTACAGACTGCCAATGTGCTTCAACTGGAGAGACATTAGGTTTAAAATACAATAGAATTTACATTTAAATAGCACCTTTCATGTTGAAAGAATGGGTTAAAGCACTTACAAATGTGTTATTTACAACAGGAAGTTGCAAACAGCGCCTCCCACTGGTCACTGAATGCATGCCATATTGCCCCTAAAGGTGGTCTCTACAGGCAGCATTGGAGCAGAGTTTCCACGGGTCAATATGACACATATCTGATTACATTCAATAGTCGCATTTTAAATTTCCTGTTACGAGTATCATGTTTTCACCCCTGCTTACCATCTGCTCTGCATCTACACAAGCAATTGGCAATGACACTAGGTCAGACAAAATAATAATAATAATCCTTGCATTTGATATAGCGCTTTTCACGTCTCAAAGCGCTTCACATAATATACTGTAAAGTTAATTGACTGTGTATTTGTGGGCGAAACACAGTAGCCAATTGCGCACAGCAGTGTCCCACAAACAGTCGGGGATTGAAGTGACCAATTTATTATTGTTTTTTTTCTTGAGGAATTATGATCAGGCGTGCGGAGTAAGAAAACTTGTCCAAGGTTTCGCCCTGCCGGGAATCAAACCCAGGTCTCTTGCTTGTAAGACGAGTACTCTAACCACTGAGCTACAGGTCTCCACAACATAGGAACAAATTGCATTTATTGAAAGTGACAATGTGAGTTTGCAATGGGAAAATCCACCATTGGACTACCACAACGTTAACAGAGCACTGTAGGAAATTCATTACAATGGTTTTAAATTCTCAGGAAGATGCTGAAAGATATTCCAAGCTTTCCCACCCCTCCCGAATACAGGGCAAAGGTGCGGTCTATATATTGGCCTGTTCTGGATGTGATTCAGTTCAATTTTAAAAGCAGAAGGAAAGGAAGGAGTCATAAAGGAAAAAAAATTAAAGTAAATGAGCTGACCTTGTCCAACCAGCCCTTGTTTTTTTTCTAAACAATAACTATATGAAAATTCCAACCCTCAAACAAGTTATTTGGAATTTACGTACTTATTGTGACAATGGGCTGTGTATTTCAGCTGCTTTTAGCAATTTTGCCAAAGCAAGTCTTGCACCCCTGCATCTTTCATTTCCTTCCTTTCCTTCTATTTTCTAAATTGAATTGAATCACATCCAGAACAGACCAGTATATAATCTTTGCGCTGTGTTTGGGAAATGAGGGAAAGCTTGAAATATTTTTCAATACCTTTGTGAAGAAATAGCCCTAATTCCAAACAACAACATTTGGTTTTTAAGCTCATTAAGAAATAGCTTTATCAACTTGTCAAGGGGGAAGCTGAAAGAAATTTGGAGTGTGAATTGACTCATTGCTCAATGTAATGAGTCAATTACATGTCAAAACAGTGCGAGGCAGCAATAAACAAGGCAAACAGGATGCTGAACTATTTTACCAAATCAGTTGTTTTCAGATCCCCATAAATCATACTCAGTATGTACAGTGCTCTGGTCAGCCCGCACCTAGAGTTCTGTATTCCATTCAAGTCACCATGACATAAGGGCCTAGAGGTGGGCCATAGAACCAATGCAGAGGAGAGCAACGAGCAATGTTGGAGGAATGAGCAACAATTTAACAACTGGGACTCTTCAGTCTTACAATGAGATGTCTCAGAGAGGACATATAGAGCTATACAAGATTTTAAATGGGATTGAGAAGTAAACTCAGATCAATACTTTTGGATGTACCAAGACAGGAGAACAAGAAAATATGTGTTTAGAGATGCAAAGGGCAATTTCAGGACTGATACCAAGAAGTATTTCTTTATGCAGAGGGTAATTAATACCTGGAACAGCTTGATGCTGTGATGGGAAGGCAGTAGAGTGGGTATTCTAGAAGGGTGAGATTAAACAGACCTTCATTCAAACCTCGTGTGATCTTGTGAACACTGAGTCAAGTAAATGAAACTGGTTTATATCAGACAGAGAATGACAAGGGGTTCAGGACTCTGTTGAATAAGGATTTGCACATACCAATATGTAATTGTTAAAACTGTTAACCACTTTTATGATAGTTTTAGTTTTTATAACTATTTGGAGTTCAGATACTACTGGATTCTATCTCTATGATCTCTTGTGCAATGCTAAGCTCTTTTTAGGTTTCTTGTTATTAACTCGATGGGTTTAAACACTGCTTATTTCATCCAAACAAAATTCAACTGATATCTCCACAGCTGTCTTTCATATACAAAAGGTATTATCTTTGAATAGTATTTCCATTGGGATGTCTGAGTGTTCTTTCATACTTTTAGTACATATTTGGACATTAGTAATGCAGGAATGAGACTGTGTTCCAGGGCTGCTAAATTGAACAATCCATAGAACTCTCCGCAGGCAACGACTGGATACCAAAATGAACATACACAGATTAAGGAATCGGACAGGGATGCTTGCTGCTTTAAGGCTTTACAGAAGCCAACTGTGATTCTGCGCCTTGTGCTTTGTTATTTTGAGCATTCAACATACAAGTCCTGAGGAGTCAGGACTGGGGCAGGATTTGGGGCAAAGAGCGGCTTTCATTAAATAGAACCTGCGTTTAGGACTGTGACTGAAAGATACTAATCTTGGCAAGAGCGTGACTCTCCCCCACTTTGCTGGCTTCTGCTTCATGTAGAACAAGAACTACAGAAATACAATAATACAGCTTTTAAGCAAATTAGGCTCTTCTTTCAGGACTTCCTATAGTTTCACAATATGTCCTGATAAAAGTATTGGCCTGTCTCTGTGCATAAAAATCTGTTAGCATTGACGTACAGCATGCAGTTTCTCTTCCACTTTAGAAAAAGTTCATACATATATAAAAAAAAGTTTTATTAACTCATGCAGAGGATCAGGTTCTCTGTCATCTCTATAGATCCAAAGCAAAGCAAGTTTCTGCAGAGACAAGAGAGAGAGATCTGTTTAATTAGAGTTTTAAGGATACTGTATTTGGAAGGATGCCATCAACACACAAACTGTTATCAGTATTTACTTTATTACCATAGCAACATCCAGCATCCTGACCCTTACTTACTCCCTGAGACTTATCGGTTGAACTAATTGGACAAAAAACATTTAGAGATCCAATCCTCATTTTATACTGCGATCCAAAATGATTTCACTTGCAGCCGGAAGCAATGTGGAACTGGGAGGAGCTGGAAGGAGCCACTGTCAGACGCCTGATAATGGAATACTGGAATCAATTTGACTGGGTGGTAGTCTCGGTTGTCCAGTTTCTGAACCAGACAGGTCAACGGCACTTTAGACAGACAAGCAAGCCTGGTGGCATAGTGTGTCCCTCCAGGAAGAGAGTGCAAAGCTCCATTCCAGACACAGGGACATTTCTAGATATATGTGGAACTTCCATTCTGGTTTGAATAACTCACAAACAGACTAATGGATTTTCATGTTAATAATAATAATATTTATTAAATTTGGTATAGCACATTTCATGTCGGGAGGACGTCCCAAAGCGCTTCACAGAAATATACTGGGAAGTGACTGGTGTCTCTTTGTGGGTGAATGGAGTTGACCAGTACACCAGGAGAAACTCCCTTCTCTTTCTGAGTAGTGCCATAAGATCTTTAACGTCCACCTGAACAGGTTGACGGCACCTCAGTTTAATGTCTCATCTGTAGGTTGGCACTGCCAACAATCCAACACAGCCCCACCGCTGCAATGAAGTGTCATCTGAAACTATATAGTTCCAAGTACCGATGTGGGGTTTGAACCCACAATCTTTTGACTCAGAAGCGAGAGTGCTACCAACTGAGCCAATTGGTTATACACTTGACTGATTAAAAAAAACACAGAGCTGGAAGTCTGATATATGTTTCCTACTCTTCATGGCACTATCCTGGGACTACGCACAATTGGACACTTCCAAATGACAAGGCTCAGCTCCAATTTATACTAATTGTCTCAATTCAAACCATAAGTTCTGTACTTATAGACTGTGCCCACCACTGTGGAGTCCTGTAGCTCAGTGGTTAGAGCACTTGCATCGCAAGCGAGACACCTGTGTTCAGTTCCCGACGGGGTGAAATGTTGGACAAGTTTCCTTACTCCACACTAGCAGTAAGTAGGAACCTGGTTGTTAGTCGATTGGCAGATCATTTTTCCTTCAAAAAAAAAGCAAAAAATTTGTGACTTCAATCCATGATTGTGAGAAAACTGCTGTGTGCAATTGTCTGCCACGTTTCACCCACAAAATATACAGTCAATTCAGAGATCCAATCCTCAGACCTGCTGAGTGTTCCCAGCGACTTCTGTTTTTGTTTCACTTTATAGTATATTCTGTGAAGCGCTTTGAGATATCTCGAAGATATGATGAGGTGCTATATCAAATGTAAGGATTATTATTATAAACACAATGTTGCACTGATATCAAAAAGAGGCTGCAACGACCCTATTTATTTTTATGCTTTTTGCAAACTATTCTTGTCAGGTGGGGGGTAGGATGATCCACACTGTGAACATCTGCAGTGGAAACCATTGCACTATCAGCAGATGTGTGTGATGTTTATCAACACTGAATAGGACGTAGGCAGATCCCACTCCCCTCTCCACTTTGTTCTGAATGGTGAAGTCTAAAAAGCCGGGTTCCCTGCATGCTGGATTTCCGGATCATGACCTTTGACTGTGGGTTAGTGGGATACCAGTCTTTAATAAACAAACAACTCAAAGAGCTGGTGTCTCTTCCGCTAACTGTCAGTCGAATGCTGTGACTTGAGAGAAGGACTACGCTGGTAGTCCAGCTTTGTAGGCTTCACCATTGAGCTCAGTATAGGGTGCGGGCGGTGAAGTCAGGGGGATGGGGGGAAGGCTGCCACTGGCCCATTTGATGCAACATATTCTCTGCAAAATACAATCACGACACTTTACAGTAAATCCTGTGAAGCTTTTTGAGAAGTTCTACGAATGCGGAAGGCGCTGCATTAAATGCAAGGATTACTACTTTGTGATATTTGTGTAAATATCACACAATCCACATAATCAAACCCCTCATGTCTTATCTTGTTTACATCTAGTTTGTGAGGCATTATAAAAGTCCGAGTTGGGGGGGGGAAGAAGTGTTTTCCAAAATATACAGTCAGTTCACTTTACAGTATATTCTGTGAAGGGCTTTGAAACGTCTCAAAAGACGTGATAAGGCACTATATCAAATGAAAGGATTATTATTATTATCAAAATTCCTGACCCCAGTTGTCGGAGTTGTTTCCTTCTATGATGGGAACAGCAGTGTTTAAAGAGTACGAAGAGTCTCTCAGGCGACACATTTCAACACCCACCAACCCCCACCCCCCACCTCAACAAGCAGCTGGTTGCAATTACGTTCATCATAGGACCCCAAAGAATGTTAGACTGAACCAATTATGACTGTATTTGTCAACCAGAGTTCATATGGGCCCGCATTTAGAAAGATATTGGAGTCAAAATGTTTGAGTTATGATTTCTCCTGTTAATTTTTTGTGTATCTATGTATCTTGTAAATAAGTCTGAACAAATACTGTGCTGTAATACTGTCTCCTCACATTTTTTTCACAGATATCTGTGTAAATATGACTGCCCACCCCACCCAGAAGCGAGACTGTACATCCATCAGTCATTTAAATTGAGCACCCTGAAGTCATTTGGGATTGTACTGTAATCTCCCCCACTCCGCCTCACCGCCAATGTTTGGGACTACACTCACAAACATTATGATATATTTCACCGCCAAGGGACATTTTTGATGTAGTGCCCTCCCTTCTTCCCCACCGGCATTAGAGACTGTAACACACAAGTACACACACACATTAGCATCTTGGGATGTCCTCGTGGAGTGAAAGTGCTATATAATTGTAAATTCATGTTGCATTAATGTTAGGAAAAGTACACTCCCCCCACCCCAAAGTTTGGGACTGTCTTAATGGGAAGGAATAAGTGCCTGAGCAAAAAGAGGGTGATAATGGTCTCACGCACTTCATTCTGAACTGTGTTGCCCATCAGGACAGTTGCAGAGAGGGAGTTCCTGGTACCTTCCAACCACCTAGTGAGGGCTCAAACCTGCCCTTCTGTGCTTCATACTCTCCAGATTTAGGTAAGCAGAATGCATCCCTCTGGGGAGAGAGTGCGCATTCTATTCTAGATACAAGAATTTCTATGTGCCGGTGGGAATCATGGAACTCTCAGTCTGGTCTGGATACGTGTGGTTTCTGCATGTGTCAAACACCCAGCTGAAATCCTGCCTTTACCGAGGTGACATTCACTCTGCTCTCACACTGATCTCCAACTGAGCCCCAGGGACCTGCTTTCCCCACAATTCCGCGCCTTGGGATGTCCTCTCGACATGAAAGGTGCTCTACAAATGTAATTTTGTTGTTGTGTGGAGGGCGAATCAGAGGTCAGTGTCTGAGTGGATTGTCGTAATACATGTCCATGTCTCGCAGAATTCACCTTTTGTAGATCTCACACTTTAAACCCCACTTAAACCCTTTTTAACTCTGCTTTTACAAATCCTCATTTGAATTCCTTTTTAAGAATAACATGCAGAAGCACAACAATTTTGTGTTCCTATTTCCTGAATCGCTTCCTCACTGAAACATTGCTTCAGGCCAGCCACACAGCAGTTTGCACTGAGTTCAACTGTGGGTCAGCAAAAACAGGCTAATGTGCTTTCAGCTACTATGCCACAACCCTTTGCCATTCCCTGCCTCAACGCCTTTGTCTTGCTCCCTATTTGTCTGTCTTCAGATCACACCTTTGACTATTTTCGTCTTTGACTATAGCTACGGTCACCTCCCCTTTCTCCTCGGCTCAGTGTCAAATTACACCATTGTAGTTCTGAGACGCTGCTCATATGAAGGGTGTTATAAAAAATGCAAATTATTGTTGTTATTGTAACGTGTTGGGACAAGCTCCCATTTTTAGAAGGCGAACATTTCTTCCAGTGGTTTTCTGATCTTATATGTCTGGTTACAACTGAAGTATTGAACAAGTGCTGCAGGTGTGAAGCAAGGCTACAGAGTACAAAAAAGGTAGCCTTTTAGACAACTGATTGACATTAAAGTGGCACCATCTTCATGAAATGTGCTTGACAAAGCATATCCTCTGGGAAGCAAAGAGACACCCCCTACTCCAATAAAAAGTGGGCTCACCTCCCGGGCCACCTTTGACTGCAACTCGGCTCCACAAAAGCTGGCACTGAGATCGATAACTGAGGAGATTTCCAAAGGGTTCAGACCGCTTGAAAGATATCCAACTTCCTACAAAATTTGCTCGTTACAATTCCTCTCGCACATCTTGCAAGAAGGTCTCTAAAGCCAGAGGAGTTACGTGGTCACCTTGGTAGCAGACTCATTTAGCCTCTCAACCACACAGACAATATAAAGTAGCCACACAGTTTGCTGACTTGCTAGTAGTATCAGTATTATCTAGTTAAACTTCAGCAGTACCCCAACGTACATTCTGGGGTTCCCAAAGCTTGGCTGTTGCCAGGCTGCATCTAATACTTTCCGGAATTAGGTAAGCAAAGTATATCCTTTCAAATTCCATTCCAAACTTGGGAATTTCCATGGGAATTGTATAGGTGGTACACATATGTGGAACTCTCAGTCCGGTTTGGATACTCAAGCATGATGATACGTTTCTGCATGTGTTAAGACACCCGGCTGACCAAAGAAACCTTCTTTCTGTCTTTATCTCTCTCTCACACACATACACACACTCTGTACTGGTGTCAATCCACTGCACAAAGCCAGAGAGACGCCACTGTTGGCCAGAAAACCTTACCTTTGTGTGGAGACTATGAAATCCAAACTCTCCTGATCACCAATCAGATGACTCGTGTCGAATATTACACTGAATTCATACTGTAGGATATAAAAGGGAATTGGAGATTAGCAGATCATTTTATGGAGAACAGCTTGTTTGGTGATCTTCCAAATTGTGACATTTCCAAATCAGACGTTCATGCAGAATATCTTTGGATCTGATCAACAACAGCAACAATTTGCATTTATATAGAACCTTTCATGTAGGGAGTATGTCCGATCACTCGGGCAATAACCCTTTCCATTAGTTTCAGGTCTCCTCTATGTGAGGCGACAAGTGACATGGAAGGGGTGTTGTTAGGAAGTCTGGACATTTTCTGTATAATCTGCCTCCGAGATCAAATGCGCACATCTCAAAGATAATAAAGCCTCTACTGACAGTAACCATGTCCAAGGAAGATCCAATAAATAATAGACATCTTCATCTCATCTAACCAGATTGCTGGCCTTTCACTGAACAGATAGCAATGAAGAGCAGGGCTCTGATGTCATTGGCCTCTTGTAGCAGCAACACAAAGTACAGAGGCTTGGACCTGCCAAACAATTAGCTGATATTAAACAGGGTGACTATGGATACACTACAACTGGCTCTGTGTTGGGAAGTGTCAAAATTCAGCCAAGGCTCCTGCTTATATTCACAATTTAGTGTACATATAGCAGGATTGGGCTCACCCATGGTACCCACCATTGTTAAAAGAGAGTTACACAGTACTTGGGTAGTCGAGGTATTAAGGGGTATAATGAAAGGGCGGGGCACTAGGTTAAAAAGTCAGCTAAGCTGTAATAAACTGACGGAACTGGCTTGATGGTCTGGATGACCTCCAGTGCTGAACAGCCAATTGATGCTCACACTTACTGTCCAGGCTCACACGTCAATACTGGACTTGTGGGAGAGGTGGCAAGTGGCTGGTTCCTGAGCTACAAGGCTCTAGTCACTGCCTCATGGACAGAGGAGAATAGAGTAAATGTAAGACGAAAGGAAAACCATTTCCAAACAGCAATATGTGACCAAGGAATCCTTTTTGCTTGTGCTTTTATTTAAAATTTGAAAATTTTTAACTGTTAACAAAGACAAACTGTATGTCATGGAAGTACTTTCTGTCGCCACAAAATAAATCTGATCACTTCACAAGTCCTTAAGATCTTCAGTGATTTATAATGGCTCCTCCTTCCTCAAGCCAGTGCCACAGAAATCTTAACTTTGGCATAAAAATAATATCCAAAATTGGCGCTTGATTAATGACAGCAAACAGACAGGAACAGAAGAGACTAAAAAAAACTCTTTTGTTGGGAGTAATTTTGACTTCAGAGCAATTTCCTTCGAGAAATAAAGTGTTTTCCTGTGTGCATGGCTGAACAGAACAGTTGTAACACTGCCACGTCAAACAGACACAGTGCTTTCAATAAGCTGGACATGAAACCAAAGCGATTTTAACAAGCAACCTGGTGTAATGTGTATGTATGTACCTCATGCAGACAAACAATAACACTGGGCTTTCATTATCAAGTAAATGTGTTCTATGCTTTCCCTTTTTGTACATGTTTTGCTCTCCCTTGGTTGTTCCCAGTCCGAGACACAGATGGCAGGCAGTCAATCTGCAACAATGTCAAATGCCACACTCACCGGCCACTAGGAGGAGCAGGAGAGCAGAGGTGAAAGTGGTTGCAATGGACACGGTGGTTGCCGCTGCATGTAAAGGTGGAGGAGAAAGTGCTGTCTGACTAATGAAGAGGAGTGAGTGGTATTTATTTATCACACCATTGAAAAATACAGTCACTGAGGCCACTCAGTAAACAGGCAAGACTCTTAAGTGTGACTGTTACTGTCTTACTGTCACAACAATAATAATATTGTTGCCACCTGGTGTGTGGAGTAAGGAAACTTGCCCAAGGTTTCGCCCTCTGCCTGGAATCGAACCCAGGTCTCTCACTTGCGAGGCGAGTGCTCTAACCACTGAGCTACAGGACTCCACAGTGGTGGACACAGGATTCTAACCACTGCAATGGTACAAACTGGAGCCTGTCTATAGCACCCATTGGACTCACCAATCAGTAGCAACAGAGGGCAGAGCATTGGTCTAACCTTCATTTTTTTTCTTGAGCTAAAGTGCTATCTTGCTAACTGGCACTCTAACCCATGAAGGAAATGTCTCCCGGTATCCTGGCCAATTATCACCTAGATAAATCACTCATATCATCATAATAATACTTCCTTGCATTTGATATAATGCCTTTCATTTTGTCAAGATTTCTTCATGGCTGTTTGTGGTACATTGCTATGTGTAAATTGGCTGCTACATTTATCTACAGTCACTACACTTTACAGAATAACCAATGTAAATATACACTGCATTTTGGACATTCACTTGTTTACTGTTTGGGAAATTAGGGGGAAGCGTTGAAGAAAATTCCCCATGATGACTAAATAAGTCCAGCTGAGATCATGAGACCATTGATAATAATAATAGTAATTCTTGCATTTGATATAGCACCTTATCAAGTCTTTGAGACATCTCAAAGTGCTTCACAGAATATAATGTAAAGTGAATTGATATATTGTATGGCTGAAAAGTGGCAGCCAATTGTGCACAGCAGTGTCCCACAAACAATCGTGGATTGAGTGACCAAATTATTATTTTTTTTAAAGCAATTATTACCCCTGGATCTGCTAATTGAATAACAACCAGGTTCCTACTTACTGTTAGATAAACAGAGGCGTGTGGAGTAAGCAAACTTGTCCAAGGTTTCACCCTGGCAGGGAATCAAATCCAGGTCCTCTCGCTTGCAAAGGCGAGTGCTCTAATTACTAAGCTATAGGACTTCACAAGTTCTGATCTTTGTTACGCCATGATTTAATATGTTCTTAATGGAATAGATTCCTTTGTACCTTGACAACAATAAATTACATTTGTATAATGCCTTTCACGTCTGGAGGGCGTCATAAGGGTTGACCTGGATGCATTGTTAGCAGCTGTGGAAGACTTCATGTTCGGAAGGAGTTTAACCATAAACAAATGAACCTATCTTGTCCATACGCATCCGATTGACTTATAGACAGCAGGATTGGTGGGGGGAAGGGGGGCTATGATGGCATCCAGCACTGGGCTGTGTAAAGCGTATTTTGGGACCAAATAAATAAATAAAGAAACAAACAAATAAACAAAGAAACAAAGATCAAAAAGAAAGACAATACAGAATAGTGTTAAACTTTTGAAAACAAAAGTGAAGTGTAGACAACGAAGAAAGACTGTGCACAAGTACAATGACTAAACAACTAAAGCTTCAAATGCAATCATTGAGACTGTAGCAGCTGGTGTGAAGAAAATAGACTCAGCACTGTACCTTAGACTGGGATCTCATGAAAGGAAATCCCACACTGCACTTGAGGAAGTCCGACTCGAGCAGTTCACAGGACGTGCCCTTTTCTTCCTGAAATGAAATGACAAGAAGGGTGAGAAGTGACCAACTGCAAGTAAGAAAACTGTTGGGAGAACAATGGCCAATAAACATGGCAGGATACACACTGCCCTTGGTGGAGGGTTTCCTTCTTGATAAGGTACCAGCAACAATTAGAGGAGTGAAAGGAAATGTATAATTATAAATCCCTCATTTCTCTTTACTTTTATTTACCATATGTAAAAACAATCTGGGGCTTTCTCAATGTCCGGTTCTCAAGCAATAAGCTCATCAGTGAATGTGCTTCCAGAGGACTGGTATCATTTATTGAGACAGCTTCTTTCTGCACCTAATCATTGCAAGTGCCAGGAAAGGACACCAGCCCAACTCCTTTAGCTTGTTCTGGGCCCATTCAGGTAACTAGGGTTCATCCGAACCCTCCGGGGAGAGAATGCACACTCCATTCCAAACATAGGGAAATGTCCAGGTGTACATGGTACATATATATATTGGAAACGCTGTCATCTACTTAATTAATCCTTTAATCCATGCATTTGGTATAGCACCTTATCATGTTGTTGAGACGTGTCCAAGCACATCATATAATTTTACTGTAAGGTGGTGTGACTGTATGTAATTTTGGGTGAATGGTCCAGCCAATTCGCACACAGCAATGTCCCACAAATAGCAACAGAGTGAATGACCAATTTTATTTGGGGACTGTTGGCCTGGAAACCAGAAAAAAAATCCTCTCTTTTCAAATAGTCTCGATTTGAACCCACAAGCTTCTGACTCAGAGGCGAAGAGTGCTACCAACTAATCCTGTTGGAAATTGCATGATATTAGACACAATATTGAACAGATTACATGCTAAACCTGATGGAAAACGTGTCTGTTTGGTCCTGAAATGCCAGCTGAACAATCACATAGGGCAGAATCCCATGTGAGCTTGAAGTGTCACCACATGGGAGAGTTACCGTGTATCGAGTTGGTAGCAATAAAGTTGTAGTTGGTTTTGATAATAAACCCGGTACACAGACAGAACTGAAAAGTTCCAGGTTTTTGATAAAGGATCCAGAGAATTAAATCTAATCAGGAACATTCTTTCAATGTAAATAGTTTACAAACTGATAACAAATCGCCAGCAACCAGCTGTTGTGTCAACTGAAACATCCAGAGCCTCTCTTAGGAATTTTGAAACAGCATATTGGTTTGACCCACCTTACAGCACAAGCACCATTCTCCCAGCAACGTATTACACTTCTATTTCCGTCAAAAGGAAAGCCATTTTCCTACAGCTGTTGTGATCATTGAATCAAGTGCATATTGAATTGAGTTACTGGTATCTTAAAGTAATGTGCAGGGCAGGCATTGCGCTGTCGAGCAGGAGGGGGACAGCACAGTCTTACCCAAACACTAAACGGTGGAGAACACACACAATGCTGGCAATCAGAAGCTGGTACCGATATTACTCAAAGGCAGCTCACATCCTGCCAGTTTGTGCACAGTCACCAGTCAGGGAATGAAAAACATAACAGGTTTTATTGTTATGAAAGAATATGTTACTAAACTACTCGCCTTAGGCAGCATTTACTGAAGGAGCAATGTCAGTGTGTTGAGAGCTGCCAGACAAGTTCACTTCCTATAATGCTGTGTAACATTGCTGAGTCATAAAGATTTTAAACACGGGGTCTTTAGTTTGATCTTTGTAGCGAATCTAAGACAAAGATGATGATTGGGGAAAAATGCAGTATGTGATATTATCACTGATGATATTTATCCCATGCATCAAATTGTGGTCAAAAGCTGTAACACTGGCTCTACTTCACCCATGCGATCTGATCCTAGACATCACTGCACCCAATCCTATCATTGTTTCATTTACCATAGATAAATATTGTGAATCTCTGGAATGCTTAAGAAGGCCTATGGTTTATCTCAAAACCTCAAACTCCCCTCCTCTCCTCAGTGATTCCCCCAATTTTGATATGAATCAGTGGTTAGAGCACTCGCTTTGCAAGCGGGAGACCTGAGTTCAATTCCAGGCAGAGGGTGAAACCTTTGGGCAAGTTTCCTTACTCCACACGCCTAATAATAATCCCTCCAAAACCAAAAGCAATAATAAATTGGTCATTTTCAATCTACGACTGTTTGTGGAACATTGCTGTGCGCAATTGGCTGCCTCGTTCGCCCACAAATATACAGTCAATTCACTTTACAGTGTGTCCTGTGAAGCGCTTTGGGTTGTCCTCCTGACGTGAAAAGCACTATATCAAATGCAAGGATTATTATTATTATTATTATGAAGAGTTCTGAGGTGTTCACCCTATGTGAAAGGCTGGTACCTGCCCTGCAGATTACTTCAGATACAAATAAGAGCACGCTGGCATTGAGTCAACGAAGCTCACATATTCCAATGAATCTGGTGACTGACCCAAATCCAGTTCACCAGAGGCCATATGTGTTACGAAGCTCTAGGGTGTTGGTTGAGAGTAGAAAGGGAACTTTTGGATTAGTTTTCATGTTGAAGAATTTGAGAGTAAAAAGGCATCAACTTTCTCACACAATGTTTAGCTAGACATTCTTTGGTTGATATAAAATCATGCACATCTCTTTTGGCTCTTCTCCCTCCTCAAAGAAATAAAAGATATTTTGCCAAACACTTTTTTGGGAAGACTGTGGAGCTTTTGAATAAAAAAAATTGCACATATTTTTCTCCAGTTCACAAGTTTATAGAAGTCTGGAATGCTTTGCACAGAGTTGAATCAACTCTTTGTTAAGAATTTTTCTTTTTTAAAAAAAAGGTCTTTATAAAAGACAATTAACGATAGGAATATCCATAATATGTTTGTATTTTTTTTTAAAATCCCCTGCTTGCCATTTAAAAGGTTTTTAAACACAATTACTTATGCAGGCAGGGTATGTACAGCTCTGGCAAGGATCAGAGGGCGTGTCAGTCTAGTTTAGTTGGTAGCATTCTCGCTTCTGAGTCAGAAAGTTAGGGGTTGGGACTTAAACTCGCATAATCTGAGCTAACAGTCGAATGCAGTCCTGGGGGTGTGTTTCATTGTCAGAGGTGCTGTCCTTCAGATAAAATGTTAAACCAAAGTCCCATCTACATGTTCAAGTGAATACTAAGGATCCCATGGAACAATTCAAAACTGGAAGGGAGATTCACCTGGTGTCCTGTCCAGCAATTGCCCAAATAAAATGAATTATTTGTTTAATAGCTGTTTGTGGGACATTGCTGTGTGTAGTTGGGCTGCTGCGTTCATCTACAAATACAAAGTCACTCCACTTCACAATAAGTCTCCAAGCTTCCTTCCACAGTGCCTTTCACAGTGTGAGGAAGCTTTGGAACTTCCTTCCACCATGAAAGGCACTGTACTAAATGTAAGACTTACTGTCTTGTACAATGATTGTTTTTACCCTGAACGTTTACATTTTCCATCGCCATCTCATTATTTTCGCACTCTTGGCATTGGTAGCACTGTAAGTCAATGTAAAACAAATGGACCGGCGTTACTTCAAACATCTGATAAAATTGTACTGTTTCAGAAATGTCACCTACATAGTCACTACACTTTACAGTAAAATCCTGTGAAGTACTTTGACACATTTTGACGAGGTGACAAGACCAATATCAAATGCAAGTATCATAACTGACCAAACTAAACAAACTCAGGGAAGATAAAACCCCTGGTCGGGATGAAGTGCATCCGTGCATATCAAAAGAATCTAAGGAAGAGATAGCAGAGGCACTATTACATATATATATAATAATTCATTAGAAAAGGGAGTAGTGCCAGAGAACTGAAGGATAGCTAATGTTATACCTATATTTAAAAAGGGAGACAGAACAAGCCCAGGGAACTATAGACCTGTCAGCTTAACATCAGTGGTAGGAAAGATAATGGAATCCTTACTGAAAGAGGTAATAGAAAAACATCTAGAAACTGAAAATATAGTAGAGAATAGTCAGCACAGATTTCAAAAAGGAAGGTCTTGCTTGACCAACTTCATTGAATTCTTTGAAGAGGTAACAGAAAAAGTAGACAAGAGTAATGCAGTAGACGTAATATATTTGGATTTCCAAAAGGTGTTTGATAAGGTACTACATAATAGATTAATGAATAAGGTCAGAGCATGTGGAGTCGAGAAAAGTAGCAGAATGGATAGCAAGCTGGCTACAATACAGAAAACAGAGAGTAGGGCTAAAGGTTAGCTACTCAGACTGACAGAGGGTGGGAAGTGGTGTTCCACAAGGATTGGTATTGGGACCACTGTTGTTCACAATTTATATTAACGATTTGGACTCGGGGATCGAAAGTACAATTTCAAAATTTGTGGACGACATCAAATTGGGGGGAGTAGTTAATACTGAGGAGGACTGCATCAAATTACAAGACATTAATAAACTTGCTGAATGGGCATTTAATTGGCAAATTAATTTCAATATAGATAAGTGTGAGGTGGTACATTTTGGCTGGAGGAATAAGGAGGTCACATATTGCCTGGAAAATACAACAACAACAACTTGGATTTATATAGCGCCCTCCACGTTGGACGGCGTCTCAGATAGCTTCACAGTAACGGATCCCAGGGCCGAGCCAGGGGGAGGGGGAGGAAGGTGACCAAAGGTGCGGTCGAAAAGAAAGGTCTTCAGCAGAGATCTGAAAATAGGAAGAGGAGAAGGGAGTGAAGAAGGGAGATCCAGAGCCTCGGGGCATAGTGGCTGAAGGCACGGCTGCCGATGGTGGAGCAGAGGATTCAGGGGACAAAGAGGAGGCCAGACCCGGTGGAGCGAAGGCAACGGGCACTGTTGTGAGGAGAGAGGAGGTCAGAGACGTAGGGGGGGTGCAGAGAAGTGGAGGGATTTGAAGACAAGAGTGAGGATCTTGAAGTCGATCCTCTCAGGAACAGGCAGCCAGTGCAGTCTGGCAAGGACTGGGGTAATCGGGCAGCGCAGTTTGGTGCGGGTAAGAATGCGGGCGGCAGAGTTTTGGATGACCTGGATTTTATGAATGGTAGTG